CATGTCCTGAAGGAATCATTCTATTCCAGATGAGATTGCCAAATAAGATATATGAAAGGAATATGCACAGATCTTGACAGAACTGACACCTTTGCAGCATGAAGGCTCTGCCTAGGCTTTGTGCATTGGTGACAAGTAATAAATGAGTTTTGCCCAGCTGTGGCAGCCTGTGTGGGTGTGTTGGAGGCGGTGAGGTGACTCAGAGGTGTGGCCAGAGCCATGGTGTGATGCACCGGGTCCGTGCGCCTCTATCCGGGATTTCCGGTACGGTGTCGCGTGACTGCCTGGCGGGCCGTGCCCACCCCGCCGGGCGGCTCCGGGCGCGCCGACACCTCGACTCGCTGTGGCAGCTGGCTCCGGTGCTGTAAGTGGGGGGGGGGGGGGGCACGGATCCCCCGCCAGCTGGCTCTGCCTGACCCCGCCACGCCCCACCATCGCAGGAGCACAAGGCGGACACGCTGTTCATGCTGACGCGTGACGTGGCCGCACCCGCCCGCCCGCCACCTCCCGCCGCGTTTGGCTGTGTGCTGGAGCGATCCCGCCGCTCCCTGTGTCCTTTGCTCATGTACCGGTCCCCTGTCCTAAGGCGGGGATGGACGCAGCTCTCTGCTGTGCAGGGAAGTAACCTGGCCATTTCAAGCCCCTACATGCACGGACCAGCTGGCAAAGCCTTTCGTCACCTGTGCTGGTGTGATTTGGGGCTCTTCTTTCTCCTCAGGTGTGATACTTGAGGTAGGTTGCAATTCGTTATATTCCTGTTATTTGGACTGGTGTATTTGTGCCCTGGATAAGACACGACAATAAACCAAGCTGTATGTGACCGGGCCGGCACCGGATTTCCGCGGCGCGTTTACAGCAGCGACGCGGGTTTACGTCAGAGAGCCGCGCCGCTCCCCTGTCTCCCTTTGTGGGCGCTCAAGGTCATGCGTCGAAGGAATGCGGACGCGGTGCCATTCAATGTCTGTCGCGCGTGTTTAATGCAGTAATAAGATGCTGTACTCGTGCAGTGCATGTATATTATCTGTCGATGCGTAGCTATTCCAATTAAAAGTGCCACGGTATGTTACGGCTCTGATCAGCTTGAGTCATTGCAGCTGATCACGTACTGAGGCGGGGCAGCTGAGACCTTAGCATCATTACGCTTCGTGGTATTGAGCATTAAATACGGTGGTGTTCACATTTTGGCGCTTCTTGATGTCTCTAACCAAACCAAGAAGAATCGAGGGCTTGAAAACGTTACAGTTAGGCGACACGTGTGGGCTGTTTAAAAACACCCACGTGGTCAACAATGAGGACGATTTAGGTAACCTTGTTCACTCAAGTAGTTGAGTGTAATAAGAATGGGGAAAAGGCAGCGTATGTACGTGCAGGACGATAGAGGCGCGGTATGCTGCTTTCTCGGAGGGTATCTGGGTAATGGGTAGATGAGTCGCAGGGCGAGGTATTTTAGATCGTCTACACGTGTGTATATTTCATGTTACCGCACAGTATGCCCTCAGAAGTGTCACGCAGCGGGCCTGAAACCGTAGTCAGAGTCCATTGCGCATGTGAGCCTTGTCGTCTGCGTTTGCACGATAAGTCAAATCGCCTGCAGGCATCACGGCATTTGTAGAAGCCCCTCGTCTCTCGACCGTGCTTCCTTTCCGAACGTCTAAAAGGTCTTGAACCTGCACTGGCTTGTTTGTCAGCGGCTGAATGCCCGTGTGTTTGGTCTGGTGCTTCTCGGCGGCAGCTGCTGCGGCACTGCCGGTGGCTGTCATGATCCGTGGGCCGACCGGGTGAGTCTCCGTGACGGGTGTATCAGTCGCGACATCAGTGGCTGTGGTCCTGTGGAGCAGCAGGAGGCGCGCGTGCCGGCTGGGCACGGCGCCGGGCAGCCAGTGGCGCGGCGGCCGGCGGCGTGTGAACGTGTCCGGCGGCGGCGACGGCGGCGGCGGCGGCGGCGGCTGCCGGCGCGGTGACCGCCGCCGGATCGGGGTCAGCCGTGACGCGGCGTCGCCACGCCGGTCGCGGTGGGCCGGCCGCTGCCGTGCGCGCCCGCCTGGCGCTGGCACACGCCGCGTGACTGCGCTCATTTGCGTGTGGGTGTGGACTGGCTGGGAGCCGTAAGGTGCGGGCCGCTGTGAGGGTGCGGCTCCGCCAGGTATCACCGGCGGGGTGGACGTGTTCGGGGTGGTCAGTTTACAGCCAGAGGACGCGGCGGAGGTGCCGGCACGTGCCACTCAGCAGGTGGCGTGTCTGGTGAGGCGCCTCACCGGTGAGGCTGCACACGCGTGGGCTTTGGGGACGACCTAACGCCGGGCCCGCGTGGTCGTCAGGAGATGCTTCGGCGCCCGCTGCAGCTGCTGGTGCTGGCTCTGGCGGCGATGGCCTGCCGGGCCTACCCGGGCGGCGTCCCAGCCGTGGCCTGCGGCGACATGACCCCGGGTCACGGCGTGCCGGCCCAGCAGTCCGACATGATATACAATGTGACTGTGTCCGGTGACAGCGTGCAGCCGTCCAAACGGTAAGTGGCGCTCCCGAAAAATCCCAGAACCGAGCCTTGACTAAGCGGCCCAGCCGATGTCAAAGTATGAGGTCCTGCCTTCCACTGGACTTCTGTGCCGTTACAGTGAGCGGGAGAAAAAGAAACCCACCCCTCTGGGTCCCTTACCGCTCCCTTCGACAAAAACGACCGTAAGGAAGATTTCTGTTAACGGGAGCATTCCATATTTATATGTAATGAAATAGTCCTGTTGAAGATAATTCAGTGCAGTTGACGGCCTCGCCCTTCTTAAAACCTAAGGCCCTCCAGTTTCTGAGCTACGTGTCTGCAAACATGTGCAGACTATTTCGTGCAGACCATTTCAAGGTCACGGAGGCATCCGTGACGTCATAATGATGTCTTTTAAATCCTATCATTCCATTGACCATGCGACAATCAAGGCTAATGCAAATATAAGTGGCGAGTCGCTCATATTTGGCGTTCGCGGGCACGATTTCCAGATGTAACGGACGTCAATTTGCCATCAATAAATGGTGTGCGAGGTATGATGACGCAATGGAAGAATGACGTCTCTGACGATGCGTACAACCTTGATTTGCGCTTAATTTCCGCTTCAGCAGAACGTTCAATCGCAAAAAAGCGATTTAGTTGACTTTCTCTGACGCTCTCTATAGAAAAGGTTATGCGAATCGGTTCCAGCGCGCCTAGCTATTCTTTCTCATGATTTCGGAGTCGATTCTGACTGCCGGAGCGTCAAACAGAAGTTTGTAAAAAACCACCCTGAATGGTGTAAACATAATAATTGTTGGAAGAAGTTGGTGCTGGTCTTGATGAAGTGCCCGGGCCTCTGTTGCAGGTGCCTAGGTTAGGGGGAAACGGTACGGTTTGTTTTGGGTGTCGCTTCCATCCGCTTGGATGCCCCGCTGCAAACCCATTAGCTGACTTCATAAGTTGCCATTGAATGCTTAGCACTTGCTTCCATTTCGCTTTGCATGGAGTGCGTGGCTGCTTGCCGATTTTTGCAGTGGCCTCTATAGCTCAGATGCTCGTTATGGAGAATGGACGCAATCTTTTGTTAAGCGTTTTGATGTGACCCATGTGCAAATTCATATGTAACATGCATGCAATATGTGCGGCCATGTGCGCCCCGTATGCAATGGGTTGCGTATCCTGGGGGTCTCATATCACATGTCTCACATATCCTGTTTTTTGACGTGTGATGTGTCGTGAATGGTGAAATGCTTGCTGCTGACGCCTGTTACTTGTGGGTCATTCATCGTCAGAGAACACGGCCCTCTCACTGGGACACAAACGGTCCTGGTACGACTCAAAGCATGGCGATGCGTTGTAGGGTAAACGATGTCCCCCTCTGCGGAATGGTATAGTTTGTCACGGCCATTGAAACGTCGTCTGTTGTACGTCACTCCGCTGGTCTCGCGCCAATGTGCAGAAAACGTCCGGGGCCAAACGCACGATGGCGGTCGTCCAACCGCCTGTCACGGTCAGTCCTGAAAAGGAAGTTTCAAAGCACACCAAAACTGTTACGAATGGCGTTGAATAACCCGCTATAAGTGACTGCAATCCTCAGCTAGTTTCACCTCCAAATGATGACGAATCGCCAGCCCAGACGGGTGTCGGCTGACGGTGGATTGCGGTCGGACAGCTCGCCGCTCGGTAGGCTGGCGGCGGCGGACTGGCGGTCCGGGTGACCGAGCACCGGGCCGACATCAGTTCCCGGGTGGTCGGTGGCGGGCAGCCTGGCGGCGGACTGACGGTCCGGGTGACCGAGCACCGGGCCGACATCAGTTCCCGGGTGGTCGGTGGCGGCAGCCGGCGGCGGACCTGACGGTCCGGGTGACCGGAGCGTTGGGCCGACATCAGTTCCCGGGTGGTCGGTGGTGGGCCGGCGCGCTCGGTCGGGTTGGCTTTTGTTCCCGCATGGCTGGCCATTGGCGGGCTCGTCCCCATTGGCCGGCCGCGGCGCGCGTGACGTTCCGTTCCGGCGTGACGCCTCCGCCGGGCCGACGCAACGTGGGCGAACGGGGCCGGACCCGTTCACCGGTATCACCAGCCAGCCGCCGGCGTCCGGCTGGGTAACGCCGGCCGGTTACCGGTGGCGATGATTCGGCGCCCCGGTCCGAGTTGTGCGTGCCCTCGGTCTGAGCCAGCGGGCGAGCCGGGGCATGACACTGATAGGTGTCGGACGAGCACATGGTTACAGGACCGTTTTTAGGGGGGTGCTAGGGTTGCTTTGCGCCGGTGTGTGATTTGACCAAGGAGGGTCGCTGTATCCTCAAAACCCAGCAGTCTTCCTGGCGTCTGTGGCTGAAACATGGTGTGGTAAACATGGTACGGCGACAGTTCGCCCACCTCGGTTTGACCTTGTGTCGGCGCCCCCTAAAACACCAATAAGCCACGGATGCTTCTCGTCACATTGACGCTATCCGATCACCAGAAGGAGGTGGTTGGTGGGCGTGAGTTGACTGGCGTCAGGAGCACACCTTAGCTTACCGCAGCTGGGTTCCTTGTCCGAACACAACTCCACTACCGCTCAGCGGCCCGGAGCCCGGCGACAAACAACGGCCAGACGACTATCCCGGGTCCATTGTCACAGTCACGGCAGAAAGCGGATTTCGTTCGGGCTGGTCGGCTCAGCGGCAGGCATGGTTTCACTGCACGGTCCCGGACTGGTGCCCATGGCTGCACGCTTCCACGCTGCGCCTGCGGTGCGTTCCTCCGCTCGCCCAGCATGAGCCGTTTGCATAGCCGGGCTTTCCAGGCACTGAAGATACGTTGTTCCCATCATTGTGTCGTATTATGATGGTCCACGGACGTCGTTTGGACGGTTTGGCGCACGGCCTGGACGATTTTATGTCATCATCAGCCGTCGGGCAGTTGCTGTCACATTGATTGACTCGCACAGTTTGGCGTCCCGGAGAGTCCTTGCCTTCGTGCACGGGGAAGAAGGCCCTGTTCGTTCCCGTACCTTTCAGTGGTGTTACATGTGCTGCCTTTTCTGGATACGGTCTTAGGAGATTGCTGTGTTTTGTCGATGTCATTTCATACACGTGACACTCAAACGGCATACGAATGGCATGCGATACGAATGTCAACACCGAGCTATTTCAAGTTATGCGTTGCATAATGAATGGCCACACGGATGCATACATAGGTAGCTTTCTAAAAGGGAGTATCTGACTTTTTGTACTTTTCACTTGTTACATCAAACATGTACGATTTGATCGGTAATACCAGTTTATATCGAAATCCCTCTGAATAGCTCAGATTTGACGCAACCGACTCTGCGGCAGAAATCTCGTTTGACTCCTTGTTCACCACTATGGAAGTAATGCATTTCATTTGCCTTACTTTTGCCCAACGTGTGTGTGTTCTGCAATGTTTGCAACACACTCACGTGCCAAAACGTTCGTGAAATAAGTGCTACGAAAGCTTAAAATACTATTTGGACACGAAAGCGAACATGAAGCTATTATCCCCGCGACTTCAACGAAACGTTATACTTTTTTTGATATCTCCGCTATGGCGTTCGCCGTAGTGACTCTTTTCGAGGCGCACTTTGGGTCGGAGAATGGGAGTAGCACATGCTTGATGTGACACACTGGTCCAAACTGCACCCAATGCGCCTCTCGGTACTAAGCTCGCGTCCACTGGACCAATAACAAACGCATTTTTATTCACACCACTGGAGGTGCGTGCGCACGGTGGTCGTGACGACAGTAGTCGCGACTGCAAGGAGGAACCTTAGTGCTGTTACAAAGTGTTGGCAGCGTAATTTGGACTGGAAAATTATGAAAATTGTTATTCATATTATATATTGACTATGCTGCGGCGGCACTAGCCAGTGTCATTATTCCACTTAAATCGTGCGGAGTTTTCACTGGAGGATGTTTGAAATAAGCCCCAAAAGTGGGAAACTCCCCTTAAGTACTTACCTGTGTAGCTGTCCGAAGCCCGGCGGTCGGACATTTCTTCGAAGAACGGTTTTAATACAAAACCAATCAGTGCATTTGGGTCACCAATTGTGCCATGCGGTCAGTTCATATTACCAGTCCACACGTGTATCCTCTCCAAAAGTTTTGAGCGCTGACTACGAAGGTTTTGAACCAGACGCCCCGCTATATGCCGGACATACTCCGACACCAGCAACCACACTGGGACATTGTCCACATGCGATGTCATATGTTCTCAGAGGACCTGCCTCGCTCGTGCTGACCCGCCTGCTGTCGCGGTCTGCTGACCTGGCCGGGCGTGGCTGGTCCTGCCCGCTCGCCGCTGACCTCGTCACTCGTCCCCCTCAGTGTGAAGGTGACCATCAGACGAGGCAACCAGCCGCCGTTTAAGGGCTTTTTCGTGCAAGTTCGGCGCGCCCGGGACCCGGACTCGTCGCCGGCGCTGGGCCGCTTCTTCACGCGCCAGCACCTGACGGTGTCGTGCGAGCCTGGCCAAGACGTGAGCTGGCGGCCACGCGGGCCCACGGGCCCTCCCTGGCCTTCCTTTTCTTCCTTCGATCTCCGCGGCGTCCTCCGGCCGAGTCTTCAGTGTTGCGGCGCGGGTGGTTTTGTTCATGAGCGCAGGGTCCTTTCTGCCACTGATGTCATGTTAACATGTGAAGTGGGATTAAATGAATCGCGTTACGGCGTCACCGTGAGTGGATGTCGGACAAAGTCGCTCGTCGTGCTCTCCCTGGTGCTTCAGAGGGGGTTTCCTTTCGTCATCTGGATTTTTTTTCTGGTTGCAGCTTGCGGCTGAGTGCGTTGGCTCACTGGAGGGTGACTTCTCTGGAGGTGACTACCCGGTTTAGGTTGTGGCCGTCCTAAATACCGCCGAACTTCAGCCCTTGATTGACGTTTGACGTTCCGCCTGTGTGTGCTCTGCACGCAGAACGGCATCAGCCACCTAGACAGCAAGGAGAAGGAGGCGGTGACGCTGCTCTGGCAGGCCCCCGGCGACCTGGACGAGGATGTCGTGTTCCGCGTCACCGTGGTGCAGAAGCACGACACCTTCTGGGTGGGACACAACACGCCTCGACTGCGGCTCGCCCGGGCGTCCGACACCACCGCCGATACTCGGGTTCCCGCTCCATCTCCGGCTCCGGCGCAGGCGGAGGGTGGCGCCGACCGGCTGTCCCCGGTCAGTAGTGATGCTGGCGCACGGTCGGACGCCCTAGCCGGGCTGTGTCTAGTGTGGCGTGGCCGGCGCCGGTGGCCTCGCTCACCTCAGACCTGTTGCCAGTCCCACCTGTGACCGCACCACCGCCCTTCCCCGCTCGATTTGAAGATAGAGGCGCTCTCGCCGCGTTTGTGCTTAAGTTGTTTGTGTCTCCGTTGGCCAACTAGCGGCGTGGGTGTGGTAAACGGTCGGTCTTGTTCAGAACGCTGTGTCTGGCGTGTGCTGGTGACCGACGCTGGAGCCAGCGGAGCTCCGGCGACCGTCTGTCCGTCTCTGACGCGGCCGCGCGATGTCGCCGACGCTCGTGCGCGGGAGCCCTCGCGTTCTGTTCTGCTCTGCGCGGCGTCGGCCGGGTGGGAGCGCGGCTGGTGGAGCGTGTCTCTGACCCATCCCGACGCCCACCCCCGCAGCGGGTAGAACCGTCCGCCGCTGCCAGCGCGCCTCCGGCTCCCCCCACCAGCACCGTCCCGCCGCCGGCTAGCACCGAGGCCGTCTGCACTGAGGTACGGACGACGTGTTCCGACTGAGGCCGGCAGTGCCCGGGGACTGGGGTGCCGGTAGTGTAGTGGTTAACCCGTCTGTGTTAACCGCTGCGCGTCTGGGAAACCAGAGGTACGGGGTTCGATTCCCCGCGGTGCCCGCCCTTCCTGCCAGGGTGAGAGGCTTGGGGCACTCCCTGTGTGACCTGGCCTGGGCCCCTCCAGGTCACAGGATGTCGGGGCTAACTGGACGTGTCCAACAGATTGTGCCTAGGTGCAACGTGTTCGTGCTCAGCCGCTCACACATCGCCAGCACTGTCAGTTTTTGTTTATCGTCCGCTCGGCTCGCAGAGCCGGCGGTTTGTCGTTGTGCCAGCTTGTTGTGGAGGCCCGGGATTGACCCGGACCCCAAGCCGACCGAGCCCCCGCTATAACGCCGCCGCCGCCACCGGCAGAACTGCGGCGGCGCCAGCTCGGAGGCGAGCGCCATCGCCACCATATACGACGCCTGCCTGCTCAGCAAGGGCTGCTTCACGCGCGCCGACAGCTGCATCGAGGGCCGCAACTGCGACCTGATGGTGACGTACGCGCGCCGGCCGGACGGCGCCTACCGGCTGCAGCTGTACGGCAAGCACCAGCCGGCCGAGTACCTGGCCATGGGACTCTCTAGGGACGCGGCCATGGTGAGCGACGGCCGGTCGCGGACACGGGCTGGCTGGCTGGCTGGCTGGCTGGCTGGCTGGCTGGCTGGCTGGCTGGCTGGCTGGCTGGCTGGCTGGCTGGCTGGCTGGCTGGCTGGCTGGCTGGCTGGCTGGCTGGCTGCCGGTGGGGCGCCTCACCAGTGTGGTGGCTGGGTGCGGTAGTTGGTTTACGTGCTACTTAGATGCTGCTGAAGCGGTATGCGTATTTTTACGCCTGAAGATATCTTACGGATGTATGTGTTGTGTTGACACATCTGAGAGGTGTATTGGTCATGTTCAGAAACGTTCAGGGCGTGGTTTTAGACGCGTCATGACCGCTGATACTGTCCTGCCCCGGGACGGAGGACGGCGTGTCATGACCGCTGATGCTGTCCTGTCGTGGGGGCGGAGGACGGCGGTGTCATGACCGCCTGACGCTGTCCTGTCCTGGGGCGGAGGACGGCGTGTCATGACCGCTGATGCTGTCCTGTCCTGGGGCGGAGGACGGCGTGTCATGACCGCTGATGCTGTCCTGCCTTGGGGCGGAGGACGGCGCATTATGACCGCTGACGCCATCCTGTCCTGGGGCGGAGGACGACGTGTCATGACCACTGACACTGTCCTGTCCTGTGGCGGAGGACGGCGCACCATGACCGCTGACGCTGTCCTGTCCTGTGGCGGAGGACGGTGCATCATGACCGCTGACGCTGTCCTGCCCTGGGGCGGAGGACGGCGTGTCGGCTGCACTGACGGCCGGCTCGTCGGTCGGTGCGTGACGACCTCTGCCGTCTCTGTGACAGGGGGACGATGCAGTTATCTACTGCACGGACCGCCCGGGCGGCGGGTACCAGATCAAGCACGCCCACAACAAGGGAAAACAGTCAAATCAGCAGAACGCCACATCCGCGGTAAGCATTGTGAACGTCTCCGGGATGCGTGTACTGCATGTAAGTGTAGGTATTAAGCGACTTGGTTTTCCAATCTTTGTGACCGTTTTACCGTTTAGCTGATTTTACATGCTCTTCTGAGATGCCCAAATGGTTTTGTTGACGGCTGTATTGGCGACAGCGTGGCCTGCATAGTCGGTCCTGGTCGGTCTTCCCACGTTCACCGTGGCCGCCCGGCCGACAGGGCGGTGAGCTGGTGACCGACTTCTCCAGCGAATACCGCGACGGCTTCCTGCTGTGCGAGTTCACGCACGCGGCGCGCTTCTCGGTGGGCGACGAGACGGCAGACCTGGCCTCGTCCGACCTGCACCTGATGGTGTCGAGCGGCGCAGGTCAGTGGCGCCTGGCGATCGGCGGGGCCGAGCGTGGACAGATGTGGTCCTGTACTGTGTCTGTTGTACGCTGTGGCGGTGGGGCACGCGTTGAGCGCTGGTGAGCGGTATGCAGGGCTTCTTGTCGACGCGCGGCGTCACACCCGCGTCGACGGCTCGTGGACCGTCCGTCCGACGGCTGCCTCCGTTTGCGTCTGCCCCGACCCGAACCTCAGCAACTCCGACTGGCCCGCCCGTCCGCTCGCCCCGCTGCCCGTCACGGCCACGCCCTCGCGCACAGGCGCCGGACGTGGCCGCCCGCGGCCGGCCCGTGCGCCGCCGCTGAGCGCGTTCCTCTGCCGCAGTGGATGCCGACGGCGGGCCTCGCTACCACCAGACGTCGCGGCGCGTGAGCGGTCAGCCGGTGGAGCTGGCCTCGGCCCGGCAGGCGACCGGCGACAGTGGCCTGCTGTTCCGCGTGCACGGTGCGCTCATGCTGACTGCTTGGGTGGGCACGGCGAGCACGGGCATGCTGCTGGCGCGCTACTACAAGCAGACGTGGGTGAGCCGCAAGCTGGCCGGGCTGGACCTCTGGTTCCAGGGCCACCGCGCTCTGATGGTGATCACAGTGCTGCTGACGCTGGCCGGCCTGGCGTGCGTGGTGTGGCAGGTGGGCGGGTGGACGACCACGCCGCTGCTGGCCGGGCCGGCCGCCAGCCCGCACCCGCTGCTGGGCGTGCTCTGCGTCTGCCTGGCCGTCCTGCAGCCGCTGATGGCGCTCTGCCGCTGCCACCCGGGAACGCCTCGCCGCGCCCTCTTCAACTGGCTGCACTGGACGGTCGGCTCGGCGGCGCACATCCTGGGTATCGCCACCGTCTTCTTCGCCGTGCAGCTGCCGGCCGCTCAGCTGCCTGACTGGGCTTACTGGGTGCTCGCCGCCTTCGTGCTTTTCCACGTCGCCGTGCACCTCGTGCTGTCGGTACGTCGGCGCGGCCGTCACCCGCCTCGCGCGTGAAGAGGCCGGGCGGGACCAGCGCGAGCGAGGTCATGCCACATGCAGCGAGCTGCAGCAGCGTTCAGTCTTGTCGCTGTGCAAGTTGGAGGCTTGCCGCCTTGCGCATTAGAACGATTCTGACAGGTCGTGTCGTACATCTCGGCACTAGTTGGATATGGTGTGTGATGTGCCGTCCTGTGGCGTCACATTTTGCCAGCTCGCCACGACACCGTGCCGCTGGATCCCTCGCAGTAATGTACTTCAAGCTCCTGAAACAAGCTACCCAAGCCGGTTCCGATGACCGCTCGTGTGCGCCTCATGTTCATTCATTCATCAGCACTCGTTCATGGATGGTCGGGAAAAGCTATTTTATATGTGACATGCCGTTGTCCTGGAAGGGGGGAACCCTAGTGGCGGCGCGTTACAATACTTCCGTGCTTATTGCACCTTCATTGGTTGTTGTGCGATATTCGCTGTGATCCCCTCCCACCCCCCTTACATTGCCGCGACGCCTGGCCTGAGTGTGCTTGTGGGGCCGTCCTTCCAGATGCAGCAGTGCTGGTCAGACCGCACTCTGAGCGGACAGAAGGGCCACGCCGAGGCGTACAACATGCGAGACATGGGCATGAACAGCTACCACGCCTATCAGACTGATCGGCCTCAGGAGGCGCCCGTGAGTGGCCGGGCTAGATGAACCGCCTGCATGTAGGGGGCGTGTGCCGCTCGGGCAGGGCCAAAACTGCACACAGGTCCGGTGTTAGCCGGGATACCCCCGTGGGGAGGAGCTGACTGGTCCTGGTGGAAGAAAGTGTGTAGGCAGCAGCGGGGGCTTGTGGTGGGTTGCAATGAACTGGCAAATGGTGGAGAATCGGGCACCTCTCGTTTATGTAGAGCGGGATATTTTGCAACACCCAAAACGTTTGAAGGTTGCGTGCCCTTTTTTACCGCTTTGATTCGAGAAGGCGCCCGCGAGCCGGGCCGATGCGGTGTGGGTCGGGTGCAGATGTCGCGTCACTGTGCAGCTCAGTGTGGCCGCCTCCTCCGCCCTGTCCTTTTCCGTCATAGCCCGCCGACGACTCTTCGGCGGCGACGGCCCACTGCTTCGGCTCGGACAGCGACTCCATTTCGGATGGGCAGCCGGCCGGACCGTGCCGGGCGCCTGCTACTGCCGCCGCCGCCGCCAGCCGGCTGGTGGCGCTGCGTGCCGCGCTACCTGCCCTGGCGGCCCATGTCGCAGGTGCCGCGCGCCGCTTACATGGCCGGCTGGCGGGCGGCGGCGGGCGGCGAGCCGGTCACTGAGCCACCGGACCACCTCCCCGACGAGCCGCCGGTCAGTCCCGCCCTGGACCCGACCGCCGGTCAGACCTGTCCTGGGCCCGACCGCCGGTCAGCCCTGTCCTGGACCCGACCGCCGGTCACTCCCGCCCCTTACCCGACCGCCGGTCAGTCCCGCCCCGGACCCGACCGCCGGTCAGTCTCGCCCCGGACCCGACCGCCGGTCAGTCCCGCCCTGGACCCGACCGCCGGTCAGTCCCACCCCGGACCCGACCGCCGGTCAGTCCCGCCCTGGACCCGACCGCCGGTCATTCCTGCCCTGGACCGGACCGCCGGTCAGTCCCGCCCCGGACCCGACCGCCGGTCAGTCCCGCCCTGGACCCGAGCGCCGGTCAGTCCCACCCTGGACCCGGCCGCCGGTCATTCCTGCCCTGGACCGGACCGCCGGTCAGTCCCGCTCCGGACCCGACCGCCGGTCAGTCCCGCCCTGGACCCGACCTCGGTCAGTCCCGCCCCGGATCCGACCGCCGGTCAGTCCCGCCCTGGACCCGACCGCCGGTCAGTCCTGCCCTGGGCCCGACCGTTCAGCCGCCCAGTCTGTCAGACCTGTCCTGAACTATCCAGTGGGTCTTCATCCAGATGCATCCAGTTCCAGCAATGGCTCTCAGGTGGGTGATGGAGGTTTCATATCGTTCGTACGGCAGGCTGATGTCACTGTTCCAGGGTTCAACGCTGCGGCGAACGGTGCTTGGCATCTACATCGTAATCAACCTGCTGTTCGTGACGCTCCTGGTGTTGATGGTGGTCCTCGCGCCAGCAGAAAAGTGGATCGACAAGATTCTCTCGTAGATATACTCAAGCCTGCTTTAGATCAGCGCGATCGCACAGTATTCAAGTGCGATGACAGCAACACGGCGCGATCTTGCAGACCGGCTCTATCCCGTCGTAAATTAGCGCGTTCCCGGTACTGATCGGCGTGGTCCTTTCAGTCGGCGCGATCGCGCTGTAGACGAGCGCGACTCGCGGGTCGGCTCGGCCCTGTTATAGACCGGCGCGGCTCTGCGCCGCGCCGACGCCGCTATCCATTCGCGTGTCCGCCCCGCTCAGCCGTGCAGGAAGTGTCTGCACCGAGTGGTGTGTGCTTCCTGTGGCCTGATCTCGCGGTCTGGGCGATAGCTGTCTGTCTGTGTGTGTGTGGGCGGGCCGGCGGCGAGGCCCGCCGCCGCCCCGTCCCGCCCCCGCGTACGTGGCCGGTCCCTCGCCGGGGATCGACGGTGCCGGCGGCTGAGGAGGCCTGGCAGTGGGTTGGACGCTGTAGAGACCTCGCCGCCGTCAGCCCGCTGCCTCGGCGGGGTGACTGACTCGCTGTTAAGCCGCACGGTCCCGGTGTTGATAATCTCGCTGCTGCTGTTGACATTATGCGGGCTCTTAGCGCGCACCGTGTTATGTGTAGTGGCATGACATGTACTCATCCGTCCACGTGGGCTGTAGACGTTGAGTGCGCCAACTGCAGTGGTCCTGCCACGGTACGGACCAAAGTCAGTACGTACCCTGGCGAGTGTACTTGCCCCATTTATCGAATCACGCGTGCGATGCTTATTTCTTTGACAATGCGCACTTCGGTGGCAGTTGGTCGGGCGTTGGTCGTAAAAGTTCAGTCTGAGGACAATTTAAGCAGCCCACGCTTTATGTTAGTTCAAAGAGACTTACTCGACGGGTTGTGAATGGAACAAACGCGCACATGATCAATGCAGTAGACATTTTACGTTACGTGCTTTTCCAGTGCCTACGCTGCATATACAAACTATTGCGTCCTTCGTCTGCTCTGCTTGTGTGATGCTGTTGGAGAGGAGGGATGACATATGTAATGTCCATTTGTAATATGCCCTACACGGGATGCATACTCAAAAGAAAATATTCCCTTCTTGACCAGTGCTTTGATAATACGATTTCATTTAAAAGGGTGGCATTTTGTAAAAGTGAGACATGCCTGTTGAACCATGATCTGCTGCAATCGAAATATATCCGTCCATTTTTACCTTGCATGATGTGTAATAACGCTTCCGAGTTTTAATGTCAATGTTTTGAATAATGTGGGGATTAATACACGTGTTAAGCCTCTGTTGTTAGTTGCTGGCGCATTAGAATGCTCGCGTAAGCGGGGCCTATGACGGGGGCGATATGGGCGCGCACGTGTGACGACCGTGGCAAGTGAGGAGGGATCGATGGGCGACGAGACCCTCCCGCGCTGTGTGAGGGGGCCGGGGCAGCGCGTCGATAGACACGTATCGTTCTGCACTGAGTCGTGCAATCTGACTTAATAACTTGCCGCGAAACGTTCGTCTGTCGCCTGCGCAGACACGCGTGGTCGCTAGAGAACGGCTTTCCGGTGATGGTCGCACTGCCAGAGGTAGACGAATATTGCGCCGCGCGGGGGCATCCCGCCGGTCCGCTATCTCTGAAGACGCCTGCGGTTGGAGAATCCGTCGCTCTCTGCAACGCACGACCGCCGGCCGGCTGGTCGGCGCCTCATCACTGCAGCGGTGGCCGAGCGTGATTCACATTCCGCGCGCCGTCTCCCCGGGACCAAGCCGGCTCGTCGGCGCCTCATCACTGCAGCGGTGGCCGAGCGTGATCGCCTCATCACTGCAGCGGTGGCCGAGCGTGATCGCCTCGTCACCGCAGCGGTGGCCGAGCGTGATTCGCCCCATCACTGCAGCGGCGGCCGAGCGTGATTCACATTCTGCGCGCCTTCTCCCCGCGACCAAGCCGTGCCGACTCCGCGCCCGGTGAGTGAGTCTCTCCGGACACACTGACCTCGGCAGCGGTTGGGTCAGCAGCCAGGTGTGTCTCTGCCAGTTGGGCCGAAGCAGAGCAACTTGCCGCACCTTACAGATGCGTCACATTGTGTCGCGTGCGCCTCTCGGGGGTGTTGGGCTGTGGTGCGGCCCATGTGTGCGCACGGCCCCTTGCGATGTGTAAACGACCTGACGCTGGCCGCGCGTGTCTGTGACCGTCAGGAGATGCGTCGGTGTCCGCTGCAGCTGCTGGTGCTGGCTCTGGGGGTGGTGGCCTGCCGGGCCTACTCGGGCGGCGCCCCGGCCGTGGCCTGCGGCGACATGACCCCGGGTCACGGCGTGCCGGCCCAGTCTTCGACCCTACCGTACAGGGTGGTGGTGTCGGATGTCGCCATTGCGCCGGGCGACAGGTTGGCGTGGATAGGAACGAGGAGATGTCATTACACTTTCGTCTTCTCGGCCCCCACCACATCGGGGTGGTCGTGTCATCGCATATACTCTGAACACCTGGTCGGCTAGTGAGCGACCAGGTGTTTAGAGTCAATTGAGCTTGTGGCGCGATTGTAGATATTTCACTGCCAGTTCTCCATCTGCTCTCAGCGGAATGTAATTGGCACTATCGATTCCACAACATGCAAAGTTGAGCTCTGTCAAAAGTTCATCTATCCACGTTATGGATTTACTTTGCAGGCCCTGGAAATCCTAATATGATGTAGCTGTATCACCATCGCGAATGCACTCTATGGCGGCCCCAGCAACTAACCCCGCTGATGTTCCAGAATTAAAGGGAGTGTTCCACGCTTGAAGATATTGAATCATCAGATGAGATGAAATGAGCTCACTTGTAACTGTTGGTTTAATTGTACGTGGAACAGGCTGTTCCAGACGACACAATTTCTCTTCTTATTAAATATGCTCCCTAATGCGCCATTGCATGATCACGTCATGGAACGTTTGACTGACGTTGGAGGTGCTGCCAAACTGGCCGTGCGAAATCGCAGCCCCAGCACTAATCTTACTGCTTCAGCTTGGCGAGAGAGGCGCTGGCGGCGCTGGGCGTGTCCGCTCAAGCAAATATCGTTGTGTGCTCGTGTTTTGGCCTGTTGTGGCGTTCTTGCATATTTTTCCGTGATATTCTTTACATATTATTACCGCTCCCTCCGACATAAAGGATCGGAAGCAAGGTTACCTATTAAACTGTTGATTAGCAATCGTACGGCTATGGCGCTGTTCGTAGGCTGTTCAATCATAAGTCTCTTTTCCGTAATATCTCATCTCCAACTGCTTGCCTTAAGCAGCACAAAACGTGGCTCGTGTTGGTCATCCAACCCTCTTATCGTCTTCCCTGCTTAATCCTGAATCCTCGCGACGCCCTGCTTATCCGGTGCAGGTTGTATGCGCCAGCTACGGGTGGGCCGAGAGACTTCCTGCGAAGGGAGAACCTCGATCGGGCGTCCAGCGCACACCCCGGGGGGTCCCTGCGCGGGGTAAAGCTCGGCGCTTGCGTCCCTCCCCCCTCCTAGGCGCATGCAGTTCTGCCCCAACGTTATCCATTTTCCGTCACCCCACAGCCCTGTAATGATCACGAAACGACTCTGCGTAACACTCCTCTTGACCTGAAACACCGCGTGGCCAATGAGATGGTGGTACGTTTACCTAACAAGGGTAAGCGAAGATGATATATACCGGGAGGGTAATGCATACCGGGAAGGGCAAACTGCAGCACAAAAAAGCTGCAGCCTTTAACCAGAAATATTCCAGATGTGCTATGTAGGCTAGATTTCTTGTTAGTACATCATATTTGGCAGCCGGTAACCGAAGGTGGCGCGGCGCAGGTGCCATGATAATGAACGCATTGCAAGTTTGAATGAACGTGGTTCCCACGCTTCCTGCAAGAAACTCAGAAGGAGTTGTGCAATGAACAACACTGTTGGCACGTCTTGGCTATCAGAACCAGTTTAGTATGTTTCGTGGGAATTTGGTAGAAAATGCCGGGAACGTTCTGACTTCGAACACAACTTTCTCTTATGATTATTTCGATTATTATTCAGGGCGTGCCGTGCACCAAAACTTTGACTTGGCACGCCGTAAGAGTTTGGCTTCGCTAGACCAAAAATGGTCAATGGACCGGCTCAAGAAGATCAATCCCCCGTTTGGTACCGGGCTCATCGAAATTGGCCTGATGGAGTTCGATTCACAGCTCTGTGAAAAGCAGGTATTTAACACGTGAACTATATGGGCTAGAAGGAAAAGTGCGTTGTAGCGCGGTCATGCTTCCAACATACATCAGTAGGGGCTAAGTGAAGATGACTGACTTTAAAACTCCATACAAATGTGGGACACTCCCTTTACGGCAAGAACCTTCGATGTCCTTCGTGTGGGGCCAACTGTCAAATATGCAATGGTCTAGGCTTTTGGAATCCATCTGCTTCGGTAATCGCTGGCGATACCTCAACCTGAACAGTGAGAGTGAGGTCCTCCCTGAGATTTGTAGTTTGGATCCCCTGACCCGGTGACTGACCGATGGACGGCAGCGGTAGGGTAGCCCGGCAGCTATTCCCGACTCAGCAAAGAATTCCGTGTAAAAGTATACCGTGCGTTTTAAGAGACGATCACTGGACTGGCCCATCGGGCTTTCCTAAACGCTAGCCGGCGGAAACGAGCGAGTTTCCTGCCCCGACAATGTGAGCTGATCGATGACATATAGGCAAGGACTAACAGCAGATCAGCTCACGTTGAATAACGACGAGGAGCGCAGCTCATGCGCGTTCTCGTAGTGCGCAGCCCGCTGAGTTGGTGCGACCTGGCGGCTGACGCGCCCCTCACTGACCCCCCGCCCGCCTCCACAGGGTGACGGTGACCATCAGCCGGGAGCACCAGATGCCCTTTAAAGGCTTCTTCGTTCAGGCGCGCCGCGCAAGCGGGACAGACTCACTGCCGGCGCTGGGCAGCTTCACAGCTGTCCCCGAGTACAAGCTGACCAGTTGCGGCGAGTACAGCGACGTGAGTGTCGGCCAGCCAGGCTCGTGGTCACGAGCACGCTCTTTCTCCCCATCTGCTCTTTTCAGCGCAAATCCTCAGGACATGTTGGAACGACATCGTTTTTATCCGGGTATATCTACCGCTGTTTGTTAACATTGTGGTGCGTATGTAGGCTTTAGTGACGAATCCTATGTTACGTAGAAATTTGCTCTTCAGACAAACGTTTGTATCTGAGAAAAGGATCCCGGGATCTGGGTCGCACAAGTCCTAAATCTCAGCTCTCGGGATTCAAAATCTAGTTCAGCTTTTACTGAACCTTCTTTGACATTAGATTAATTTCATTTTTCTAAAACATTTTGTAGGACTTATGCATTGATTTTATCGAAGGATCTTCTGGAACTCAAGATCCATTTTTAAACTTTGTCGCATTAGTTTTTACGGCTTTTCTAGTAAACAACTTTTGAAATTCACTGTTACCCCACGTGAGGCTAGTTGAGCTTTTTAATTATCTCGTCAGTTTCAAATTCGAGAAGTATGTCCAAAGCCCAAAGGCCCGTACCATTTCCCTAACATCAAGCCTGGTCCGAGTAGCCTATTTTTCACGGACCAACCTCACAATCCCAGGCTACTGCAAGCTGCCCTGAATCGCGGAACACGCTGCTGCCGTGTTATGGCGGCCTAAATGCGTAGAGTTGAGCAAAGGCTGTTCGGCAGCCAAACGGTCTGTTGAACCCTCTAAATCTACTTCTTAGGTTTATGGATTCATTTTTAATCCGATTAAGTGTCTACTGTGATTCAGGATTTTGTCATGCATCCAACAAAGATTGTCCTAGGATCCAGGGTACTATAAAGATCACGGGATCTAGGGTGGTGTCGCCCGGCAATAGGGCAAGAGGGAGAGTCACGCCGCTGTGGGAGGACCGGTGTCCATCCAGCTATCAGGACCGTCGCCCGTCTCCAGCTGGCAGGTGATATCGGTCCCTTCTAGCAGACTTTTCTCGAAATGTAGGCACAGTGACAAAACTGACCGCTCTGAGTTAAATTTCTTGCATACACTCGCACACACGCACACTGCTGTCTTTTTTTGCGTCAGCTACCACCTGACTGACCATGTTCGACCACATGTGTGTGTTGTGCGCAGAACGGCATCAGCCACCGGGACAGCGCCGACAAGCACTCGGTGTCAGTAGAGTGGGTGGCGCCCGCTGACCTGGCCGAGGACGTCGTGTTCCGCGTCACGCTGGTACAGAGCCGTACCATCTTCTGGGTCGGGCACGACTCGGCTCGACTGCGTTTGAAGCGCGACGACGACGGGTCTTCGCAGCCGGGCGGCGACGAGCCTCCGCAGCCGGGCGGCGACGAGCCTCCGCAGCCGGGCGGCGACGAGCCTCCGCAGCCGGGCGGCGACGGGCCTCCGCAGCCGGGCGGCGACGAGCCCTCGCAGTCGGCTGGCGACGGGCCTCCGCAGCCGAGGCCCGGTCTGTGGGTGCTCGCTGCTGAGGTGGTTGTCACCGCCCTGCTGTACCGCCTCGCCCGCTAGCCTTGAGTTCGAGCCGCCGCCGCAACCACTTTTACGTCTCGCCTGCCTGTCATGATTAAGGAGGACTTGTGGGAACCTTCTGAGAAAACGAGTACGTTAAGTTAGATTTGTGTTACACTCCAATTTTTTTGAGCCGGCTCAGGACCTACTCACAGATTATGGGGTCCGATTCCGTTCATCAGTCATAGTCGTTCCAAATTTTTTTATTCAGCTCAGTTCAGACTCATTGCTCACATTGAATTATTTGATTAATGACTCGCAGTTTTCAAAATGAAAAATTCCAATCAGTTCTTGCGTAATGTATATATATATATATATATATATATATATATATATATATATATATATATATATATATATATATGTATGCATATATATATATATATATATATATATATACATACATATATATATATATATATATATATATATATATATATATATATATATCTATCTATCTATCTATCTATCTATCTATCTATCTATCTATCTATATCTATATCTATATCATGTCTATATATATCTATATAATATGCATGTGTATATTTACATTAATATGTATGCATGTATAGATGTGCATGCATATATATATATATATATATATATATATATATATATATATATATATAGTATACATGTGTATATTTACATTAATATGTATGCACGTATGGATGTGTATGCATATATATATATATACATATATATATATATATATATATATATATATATATATATATAACATCAGATTGCAGTTAAAGCAATAACGATTAGCTAGCACGAGTTAAAACATATTATAAACCTACCTTCCTTAAGTAAGAAGCATTACGAATTAGAATTGCATTTCTCATACGTAAGCCCAGCAAAAATCCATTTCATTCGACCCCTGTCTTCCAGCCAGCAAGGAGCTAAGCTGAACTGAACTGAACTGAACTGAACTGAACTGAACAACTAAACTAGAGATAAGTTAATATAGGCACTGACTGTCGTTTCCGCCAGGATATCTCAAACCCATCTCATTGGGTCACTCCATGAGACAGGAGTCAAAACGGATCTCGGTGCTGAGTAGCATAGCGTTAAGCGTTACTTTTCTGCATTCCAGGACTATTACATTTGAAGGCCAAATTCTCACTTGCACGTTGCGCGTCGCGTGGTGATGGAATTTAAATTGTAGAAATACAAATCCGGACGCGAGGCGAGACAAGCTTTCCGTTGTTTGCTTACGGTCGTGTTTTGTGTATGCAGTGTCGATATGCATTCAGTGTCGATGACCTGAGACCGGTGTCAGTGTGTGTATTGGTAATCTGGAAAGGCATATTTGAACCTCCTCAGTTGGGTTAAGCTGTGTCAAACAAGGGCATGTAGATATGAACAGTTTTGATGTTCACGTACGTTATGAATAATAATTCATCAGCATTACACAAGGAGTCAGGGCCGCTGCACTAATGGGAGCCGAATGGGCTATTCTTCTCGTGCCAAACACTGAAAAGCCCGGAACGATTTCTGCCTGAAGCCACATTGCCGAGCCAATTGATGACATTGATGACCAGCGGTCCGGCAAATGGCACGGCACATGACGAATCATAGCGTCTGCGCGTCAGCCGACTGCAACACCGTCGTCGGTCAGCTCAGCAGCCGGGGCTCGGTTCGTCAGAGCCTGACCTGTCCTGGGTCAGGCCCGGCCGGAGCAGCGCCGGCTCGTGTGTGGCGGCCTCAGACGTAGAAGGGTAGTCCAGCACCCGTCCAGAGTACGCCGGTGATGAGGAGACGCTGGAGAGCGCGGGCCGGCCGCCGCCGCCGCCAGCGGCCGAGCAGGCGACGCTCGGCCTGGCGCGGCCGTCGGCACCAGTCGGAGCGACGCCGTCCGGCCGTCTGGCCGGCGCAGTGCGGGGCCACCGAGAGCAGCAGGCCGCTGCCAATGACGTCCATTGTCGGCAGAGGGGCGCTAGCTGCCGCGCTCAGACGCGGGGCTTGTGGCGGGACCCAGTACGGAGCACGCTGATCTGGGCCATCCGCTTCAATTAATTGACAGCCGCACTGAACACACCAAGGAACGTGCCTACAGTCGCCCCATAAGCTGCATCGATGCAATGTGTGCGCCTGAGTCGAAACTTGCACGCAGAGCAATGGGACCGGGCGCACGAGCAGTCTGTACGGGGCGAGCGGCACCGCGGCCGCTCCTGCACTGACGCTATGTGTCGCCTCGGCGCTCGCCCGCCACTGCGGTGATCACTGCCAGTTGTACAACAAGCAGCATCCTTTCGCTACAGCAGGACGAGCTCTGACGTTACCAATCGACGCAATCCAGGCAGGCAATGATCTGATCATCCGCTTTCAGTGGCCGGATCCACGGTGACCTATTAGGGACCACGCCCACCCTCTCACAGCATGGTGACCATGGTGACCTCACACCTTTTCCTCTTGGCTTGGCTTTTCATGTGTATGTGCTCCAGCCAGGTTCGTAATGTTGGTTTCTGGTTCCCACCTGCCTCTTCGAGCTCGCCGCTTGACAATTGACAGGAAACTGGTGGCGAGGTACGAGCGAGGCATTGATCGGTTGTGGGAGTGGTCTGTTACTATTATGCAGATGTCTCGAAATGCGACAGTGGAGCCAGGAACCCACGGCAATCGATGCCAACAAGTCCGGCCAGTACATTGGCAAGTCTGCTATTCTTGAGAGTCAGCACTGAAACTTTCCCAAAAATGTTTTGACCGGAAATTACATTTTTGGTTCTGTTCTGCAACGTCATAAACCTAATATTAATCTTCAGGGATGTTTGCGATTCAGCTATACCTCCGACTGACAGTGGAGTTAAACTTACGAAAATATAACAGGTGGAGGTCCAATGATGCGCACACTTTTCGCGAACAACGCGAGTTAAAAAAAAACAACAAAAAAAAAACAGCCGGGTGATGAGAATATTGTCTGAGTTGAGAATGGTGCTCGACAAAATCACTCCGTTCGCAACGAGTTGTGTTGTTTTAAATTACGACCATATTGTAAAAATCCAAGTATTTTAGGTGCGTACTTGCCGCACTCAAGAGGGCTGTCAATGCGCAGTGCTTCCGGTTTGAACGCGAGCGTCTCGCATAAGAGGTCCCTTTCAAAAAGCTTTCATTTGTTGGTTTTTCATTGGTTGCTTTTTTGGTTGGTTTCCTTTCCTTGGTTGCTTCCGGTCGACTGCTAGCGCATTTGTGGATCGAGGGTGTTTGACATTATTTTGCCAATTTTATTTTTGAAATTGATGCTTGACAATCGGTTCATTCGCACTACGCAGTTGCTTCGCTTCTTCGGTTACTCTGGTTGCAGAGATCTGGCACCACTCCTTAAAAGCGCCCCGTTGGATCACCGTCTGTGCACACGACAGCAAATTCCCGTCTACGCACACACACACACTGTATTGCATAGCATTGCGACACGCATCGAAACGTTCCTACCCTTTCTCCCCTAGCTCACATCGCTGCCAGCTGGGTCGTCCAGACCTAGATCCCCTTCCGATTCATGCTATTCAGGGTTTTCACTTTTTGACGATTTTACCCTCTCAAAGTTAATTGAATGCGAAATAAAGTGTGGAGACTGCAACGTTGCAGGAAAAGCCCATCCGATCAGTCAGCATGACAATGCGACAATCTCTGAGCACGACGTGTATTTCTACAGAATTGTCATGTTGCTGAAAGCTGTCATGACAAGGTGGGGAGCCGATGTGGGCAGCATGGTATACAGATGTTATGGACGCGTTCCGCCGGCGTTTGATCTCAGGGAGCTAGCCCTAATGTTGGGAAATTCCCCAGAATGATGTTCGATACGGTCATCGCAGAGACTGATCGTAGATAGTCCTACTGGCTACGATAATTCTTTTATACTAACCTTTATCAGGTTGAAAAAACACCGCTCCTCCGCCGTGCGCGGTTCTCCCCTCAAATGGATGAAGGTTAGTAGCTCCACACAGTATATTGGAGTAGTATTAGACCGTTTATGTTTTTATGTCCACCGTCGCTTTACGTGATTCTTAAACACACGGTTGCTTGCTGAAATGTCATCGTTCCAGATTAATCACAGACAGTTTTTGGCAGCCAGTTTTCATGGGTGTCAGATTTTTAAGAATATGACACCGATGAGGCTTTGGAGGTGGAACATTGGTCACATGGTCTCAATTTCTAACATGCCAGGAGACATGTGGTTTTTTTTTACCGCGATTTCCGGCTCCATTGGCTTAGTTTTGGCATCATCAACAAAACAACTGAAATTTACTACGCATCCCATGGCTTCGTTTGTCCCACGCCGCGCGAGGCGTCTGGCTGCTTTGGGGCCATGCTCTTGGATATCATTCATGACCTTGTTCAGAACTTTCCAACCAACTCCAAGAGCAGAAACGCTGCCGCAACCTCTGCGATCTATATCAATCAACAGAGGGCACACGATTACACCAATCGACTGATACCGACGACGACATTCTCGGAGCATCCTTACCATCCCGACCACGTCGACGCGTTGGGACGGTATCGGACGGCTCTAAACTGGGAGATGCTTCGCCGATCGCTCTCCCCGTCGACGGTTGGCACCGCCTCCGGAAAAGACTGCGTCACGGATCGGCGACGTCGCTGGCTTCCACCAAGGGGGCGGGGCAGCAATTATATACACCGCCATTTTCTTGTTTGTATTTATAATATATCCACGAATACCTTCTACAAAGGTGTTCAAAAGAAGGTTGTGGCAATACATATGTACGCTGAATGCACTCATGCGCTATAGCACATATATGTGTTCAAACAAAGAAATTCATTTAATTGACACTTGCACACTATAGGGAGAAATTCGAATAAGCTGCTTCGATATCTTCATATCGGCAACTGAAAATGGCGTATCGAGTCACCCACCTCACACCGGATCAACGAACACGCATTTATGCACAAGGCAACGAGCCTAGACAAAAGCAAAACAGCCCGTTAAATGGATGTTTGGGCCCCGCTAATCCACAACATTATCTGTCCTTGCCATGCTTAGTTTGATAATTTTCTTTCAAAATTTAACTTAAGTAGCCAGCATATGCTACAACTGTTCCATGCTCTTATGACACCTGACAAATTACTTACTGTTTTCACAAAGTAACCGCCTGTGTTATTGACAAAATATCCCGACTTTTAATGCTTGTACCGAAACGTACATCACCAACAAACCAAACCTTCATACGTGATGCAACAACCACTGCCCATTTTTGCCTGGGAGGACATTAATGATACCAGTACCCCATCGTTCAGTACAGGCGCCACTGCACCATTCAGTTTTTCTTGTACTCGATCCGCTCCACCTTCACCTCGTCCCCAACCATCTGGTACACGTAGGTGACCACAGTGCCAGACTGAATGTCCATCAGCACGAAGCAGGGCTCCACGCTGCTGTCCAGTGGCTGCCAGGCCCCTGTTGCCGAGCCTGGATTGATGTAGAACTTGTTCTCGTGCTCGAACGCCTCGAACTTGTGCGTGTGGCCCGAGATCAGAATGTCGACGTCCAGCTGGCGCTGTACCTGCGCCAGCGCCTCCGTGTCGCCCCAGGGCACCACCTGGTGGCCGTGACACAGTCCGATACGAAACTGGCCGACGTTCACCACCTTCTGCTCCGGGTAGGTGATGTTGTCGTCGAAGTCGCCCCGCACGATGTGGACGTCCGTGGATAGTGTCTTCAGATAGTCCAGGGTCTCCTTAGTGCACAAGTTACCTGTGCAGAGTATGTGCTGGATGCGTCCAGGCACCAGGAGTTTCTTGAACTTTGCTGGTAGCCCATTGGAGCGGTGAGGGATGTGTAAATCTCCAAGCACTAGAACTAGCATGTTTGTTCTTCACAAAAATGCCAACCTGAAAAATGATGAAGCAGATGATCATGAGATGCTTTGAAAAACAGCATAGCAAATGGGAAAGTCCCAATGGCAAATGCTATAAGTTTATCTTGGGAGCACTGCACATGGTAAAAATTACTGCCAATTGATAAAGTTTAAAATATTTGTACTTGATCTCTGGCAGTACCAATGCAGGGGTGCTGGTAGTGTAGTGTTAATGTGTCTGCATTAACCACTGCATGTCCGGGAAACCAGAGGTACAGGGGTTCAATTCCCAGCAGTGCCCACCCTTCCTGCCGGGGTGAGAGGCAGCTAAGCCATATAGCCTCAACAACTGAGTATGTCACAAAGCCCCAATGACACACATGCACATGCAGAACCAGTGCAAGCTCTGAAATTAACCAAATATTGCAACCACAAAAAATGATGAGTCCATGCAAAATGATAACTTTGGAAGATACATGGGTACGAGTCAGGATTGTCCAAAATGTAGTGGTAGAAACCATCAATGATTTCACTTTGGAACTAAAAATTTAACTTGTTCCTTTAAGTATTAGGAACAACAGACTTCTTATTTGAAAAGCTCTGTGGGTAAAGCAAGTCAAATGCTCCATATATGGTAGGCTGAATGTGCACACAATTGTCCTATTGAGGCATGCAGTTGTTCTCCTAACCTGTCATCACCAGAATCATCTCAATTAGAAAACATGTAGCATCAATACAGGCTTTCTTGAGTATACCCAAGAGTAAAATGAGATTGGTGCAATGCTGTCCCACCACATGGGTGGGATACAAAACAAGCCAGTGACTACCACTAAATAAGCATAAAGCAACTGCCAGCTGTCAGGCTAAATGTTGCAACCATTCCCATAGTTTTAACAAATGATCTTCAGCCTCATATAGAAAGAACACAAGACATGTGAAACCTATTCATGCCACACTTCAGGTGTTGGAGCAATATGCAGCCTATAACATGCACTCCATATGCACATGTGAAAAAACAGATGTACATAATAAATGAGAAATGCAACATGATACAAAAAATATATATTTCATGACTTATGGGGCACAATGCACATTCTGACAAGTTGCATGACATTATAGCAAAATTCTAAGGAGTAATGCAGCTTTGCAATGGCTAAAATCCTTGTTTCCCAACTCTTAAAAAGAAAATAAGGGGAGGCAGAACCACAGCTCAACAGACAAAGCTCCTTACACACTGAAAGTCTGAAGTCTGGACCACAGCTCCAGATTGCATTATCGATAAACCCAAGCCCCAAACCATAAAAGCACGCAGTTTTCGTGCCTCCAATTGCACATGACTATGTTGATTTAGGTACCTACACACACGCCCCGTTGCAGGAACCTGCTTATAGCTGTAAATCCACCAACGCAACCCGACTCGACGCTCTAACCCACGGGCCCTAAAATTCCTAGTCAACACAGTTCACGCCGCATGCGTACGCAAACCAGATTATTTCTGGCGCGTCTGTTACGAAAATGGTGCTACAGCCGTTCGAGGGCTGTTGACAGTTTCGCATCACCAATAGAGTCACAGTATTGTGACTAGAGTCAGACCAACATAAAGTGGTTGGCTGTTTTTTTGTCAATTCTGTTCATTTTGGCGGATGAAAGGGCCAGGGCGTTGGGGGTGTGGTAAGTTTAATAGCTTCGCGTAGTTGTAGATATTAATGCTTGGGAGCAGAGCTACATTCAATACCGCATAGAAGTGTAGTTATGTGAATATCTTTATTTACCGGTATGCTTCGCTGTTAGCCGTTAGGTTGAATGAATCGTTGAGTGATTGGCCCATATTGACCACCGGGGCGATACAGGCCCAAAGGCTGGGGACCGATAGCTGAACAGGTAAAGGATTAAGCAGATGTCTGAAAGTTTCTAAAACAGATCGGTCTCGTGAGCTTTTCAGAGGTATCTGTAGACAAAAGATGTATAGTTGCTGGCACCAGAGCAGATGTGTAGTACTATGCCAGCCCATGCAACTTGCCTTGATTGTTTATTGTTGTGGATTCCCTGAAATGACTGTTTAATTACTAGTCATGTAGGTCCTGAATAAAGTTTTGCTTACACCTCAGTAACTGTTATTTCTAACTTGTTGTTCAGTTGAGGTCCTTGGGATCAAAATGCTGCCATAATGGAACTAGGTGCTTGTCTTATGTTGGGGTGGTACTGAACCAGCCTGCCAAAAATTCTTCCACTCCAAGGATGCCTTCATATTATCAAGTTGCGGAGCCTTGTACTTGTGCGCACTTAACTCAGGAACAACTATATTTGTTTGAATTTATGTCCTTTGAAAAGTGGTTTTGTAATGTTTTTGGCAGAAATTATGTCTGCAGGATTGTGATCCTGTAAAACATGTTTTTTTGCACTCAAATTGGTGGTGACAATGCACAGAAGAAACCCAGAGTTTCCAGATTTATGGCATAATTGTCCTGACATTTGTGTTTCAGTATTACAGCTACACTGGACATGTTCTGGGCATAACATACACTTTTGCAGTATATGTACTGAGGTTAATGTAATTAAAATGAAGTAGGGCTTAAAAAGATGACTTGTGAGAAAAGATAGTCATGAAAGAATCAAAAGTTTGCTGTCATGTGAGCTGTGTTCTTTGTGCTGAACAAAGCAAATAAGTGCATACATTTTCTGTAATCATATTGCTATCATATCAATTATACCTTTTTTATCTTCAGTTAAACTTGATAACAGGTCTGACTTACCAATATCTGTGAATCATGTCTATCTTGGTGTGAAAGTTCATTAAGGTGCAGTTCATGCAAAGGCCAAGTCCCAATCTAGTTTGAACCTAGCTGATAAACAATGCATGGGGTCTGTTTATGTAAGTTGTGTTAACTACCTTTTTTAACTACTGGTTTTTCTGTCAATGGTGTAGTTGGGCTTTATTCATCCTCATCTCTTTAAAGAGATGGTGTTCTAACTTGTCATGTAAGGAACATTTTGTGCTTGGAAGATGTATGGTGCATGGGACATGGGAGTCAGGGTTTTTTAGAAGCCATGGATGTTTGTACCACATAAGCTCTGTTGGTGATCCACAGTACAGCAGCTGTAGCCAAGTGAAAACTTTGAGATGGGTTTACACTGGGCCATTGCAACATGTTATTTGTTGCTGGGAGTAGCTGCTGCCACAGCTGTTCTTAGTCCCACGTCACTGCATGCCACAGGACCAAGCAGCTCTGTAACACTGCTCAAGTAATTGCAATGTTGCACACCATTGTTCAGAATTTCACCATTCTAATCCAAGAGGGGTGAGCTTTTTTATTATGGTCTTGATTACTCACAGGAACATGTACATATCATAGCAACAGGGAACACATGTCCCCACCTCTGTTACCAAATATGTGACTTGTGTTAACATGTACATGAGTTGGTGTTGACACTTCAAAATTCCATGCAGACATTTCATATCATGAGGATCAAGGACATGGTGCTTTTATATGTGGTGCTTTTATACACCACATAAGGAATTGCACGCTCACGCAGTGCTCTAAGCTCAGTTTTCAGTGAAAACATTTGAGTTGTGTCCCCACCCCATGATTAAATCCTGTGTATTCCCCTGATTCCTTGTGTAATGGTATAGACAAATTGATAAACATTCTCTAGGTAGGGAAAAAGAGACAACATATAATGGTGAAATCCGACATGACGTGAAAACTATCACCACGTGAGTTATTGCCAGTAACTGCTCGTGATCCCAGCGCCGTGCTCTGTTCGGCCCGTTGCCGCCTAGGGCGCCCGCCGTCTGGTAACGCGACTGGGCGTCTGCCGGGTCCGCCCGCCGGCGGCCCAGTGTCGGGTGGCCCTGACAGTCAGCTGTCCTGCCGTGCCGTATCGGCGCGGGTCGCCACCCGTCACCGATACGGCGGTTGGTCGCGCCCAGCAGGCCGTGCTTCAGTTCGGTGGTGGGCGGTGTGGGACGGGACATGCACGTGCGTGGCGGATGAGCACCGGCGTGGCACCGAGCACTCGAGTCGACCCAGTGTGAGTGTGTCGTGTGTTGTGGAGTGTCACTGACCCACTGGCGGTGTGTTGCTCTCTTGCGTCCCAGCACAGTCCACGGGTCCATCAAATCGTTCATGGGGGGCCGATGCCGACATAATCTTGCTATCCGTTTTCCTGTGTGCATATGGAATGTGCCGTGGCCCCACCTGTTTGCTTTCAGATGCTGCTCTTTCTGACTTCAGGCGATCCCTTTTTTCTAACTCCGTCCCTGCCGTCTCCAAACAACAATTCTGCCCGGATCAGGTCACGCCTGTCCTCTGTTCCAGTCGCTGAGCGCCGCCTCTGACGTCCGCTGGACTCTGGACTCTGGCCTCTGGACTCCGGCTCTGCCTGCCTCGGACCGCTGCTCCGCCCAGTAAGTGTGCCTGCGCGGCCGTGCCGTCCGCCCGCACGCCGCCCGCGATGTCGCTCGGATCGGGGGCAGACAAGTCGGGCCCGGCGATGGTGCGCTACTCGACCGGCCAGATATGGATAGGGCGCCTGCTCAAGGTGGTCTATCGGCTGCTGGGCCTGTTCTCCGACCTGGTCTTCGGCCTGGCGTACAACAATCGTACTGAGCCGCTGCCGCCCATCCGCAACATGGTGCTGCTGGAGAGCGGCGTCAGTCTGGCGCGTATGATCCGCAAGGGCAAGCTCAAGAGCGAGGAGGTGGTGCGCTCGTTCATGGAGCGCATCCGCGAGGTGAACCCGATTCTCAACTGCGTCACCGAGGACCGGTTCGAGGAGGCGCTGGCCGAGGCGCGCGGCGTCGACAAGCTGGTGGCGAGCGGCGAGCGCTCGGAGGCCGAACTGGAGCGAGACACGCCCTTCCTGGGCGTACCGTTCACCGCCAAGGACTCGATCGCCATCCGCGGCCTGAAGCACACGGCCGGCCTCTGGGCGCGCCGCCACTGCGTGGCCGACGAGGACGCGGCGGTCGTGCGCCAGCTGCGCAAGGCCGGCGCCATCCCGCTGGCGCACACCAATGTGCCCGAGCTGTGCATGTGGTGGGAGACGTCCAACAAGATCTACGGCCGCTCCTGCAATCCGTACGTGACGACGCGCATCACGGGTGGCAGCAGCGGCGGCGAGGCGGCGCTGCTGGCCGCCGCCGGCAGCCCGTTCGGCCTCGGCTCCGACATCGGCGGCTCCATCCGCATGCCCTGCTTCTTCAACGGCATCTTCGGCCACAAGCCGACGGCCGGTGTGGTGTGCAACGCCGGCCAGCTGCCGCTGGCCACCGGCGAGCTCGACACGTTCCTGGTGACAGGCCCCATGTGCCGACACGCCGGCGACTTGCTTCCCCTCTACCGCGTGCTGGCCGCGCCCAACCTGCATCTGCTGGCGCTCGACCGGCGCGCTTCGCCCTCTCAGCTGCGCTTCTTCATCATGGAGGATGACGGCGGCTTCCCCCTCTCGTCGCCGGTGCACGCGGACGTGCGCGGCGGGCTGCAGCGCGCCGCCCGCCTGTTGGAGGGCGCGCACGGCGTGCGCGTGCGTCCGCTCCGACTGCGCGCGCTCTTCCACCAGCTGGAGATCTGGGCGCACAAGATGGGCAGCGTGACGGAGGCGCCGTCGTTCGCGGCGGAGCTGCGCGAGCGCTGCGGCGCCGTCCGGCCCGGCTGGGAGCTGTTCAAGTGGTGTCTGATGCTGTCGGACCACACGCTGCCGGCGCTATTGCTGGCGCTGACCGAGCGCCGCCTGCCCGCCGACACGGAGAGCAGCCGCGACTTCCTGCGCATGTGCGAGGCACTCAAGGCCGAGTTTGAGGCGACGCTGGGCGACGATGGTGTGCTGCTCTACCCGTCGCACCCGACGCCGGCGCCTTACCACCTGCAGCCTCTCTTCAAGGGCTTCAATTTCGCCTACACGTCGATCTTCAACGTGCTGGAGCTGCCCGTGAGCCAGGTGCCGCTGGGGTTGGGCTCGTGGGGCGTGCCGGTCGGCGCACAGGTGGTGGCGGCACGCGGCCGCGACCACCTGACGCTGGCCGTGGCCGAGGAGCTGGAGCGCCTGGCCGGCGGCTGGGTCTGTCCCTCCAAGATCGAGTGAGCCGGCGGGGGTGGAGCGGGAAGCGGGCTATGGGACCGGGTGAGGTGTCGCCCTCACTAGCTGGAGGCAGGTGCTGGAGGCTCCTGGTCAGAGCGTGGGGCGCTGGAGGAGCGCTCCTGGACCGGGTGCTGACCCAGTGGGCAGGGGAGGGCTGAATACTGTGCCCTGACGTCTGAGGTGATCCACCTGTCACCCGCGCTCTCTCCGGGTGGGCAGCACCTCTCCGTGGCGGGTGTCTTGTTGGGGTCGCAGGGCACGGATAAGCGCTGTCCGCTGACTAACGGATTTTGTTGTTCCCCCGGACTGTTAGTACACGTAACATATCTCGGCTGCACATTTTGCGGACAGATGGGAAGGACGAATGCGTTGTGTGGTGTTGCCGGACGCTTCACGTGCAGCTGCTTCACTTCACAGGCTGATTCACGTGCAGTTGCTTCACTTCACAGGCCGCTTCACGTGCAGTGGCTCCTCCTCACGGGCTGATTCACGTGTAGTTACTTTACTCCACAGGCCGATTCGCGTGCCGCTGCTTCACTTCTCAGGAAGCTTCACGCGCTGGCCATTTTTTGAACAACTTGGTGTTGTGATTTCGGAAATGGTGTTGCGTAGTCTTTTGTTACATTGTTTATCCGCGCTCACACCACTCGTCTATTTTAAGCTGCTCACTCCACTTTGTTGATTGTAACGTTTGCAAGTGACGATGACCCAGCGACCTGGGCCAGTACGCTGTAAGGCCCGGGCGTCGCCCAGTGATGTGAATCCTGTGATTCTGATGATGGTTACGACGATGTCCAGATAAGCAACAGACGCAGGGACTGGTGCCAAGTGTTACGATACCGTGGGCTGTAATCACTGCGCGATCTTCGTAGCTAAGTTCAGATGAGCGAGTGTGACTAGTTAGGGAGGGCTGAGATGCGCTAGGAGCCTTCGGCTGGGCGATGCTGCGGAGCGCTGCTTGGAAGCGGTCGATGGCTGGCCAGGTGGCGCTTGCAGCCAGTGGCTGTGCGTGATAAGGATTGGTCCCGATTGACGGCGGGCTCATGCTTGTGACGGGTAATGATGGCAGGTTTAACATCACCAACCCCGCCTAGCGCGACATCAACGCACGGCAGGGGCTTTGTTCAGAAGCAGTCTGTGGTTTTATGCCGCACGTTTTTACCGCGCTGTATAGTGAGTCGGTTTTGTGTGTTGTTGCGAACTTGGCAATGTCCGTGCGCGTCCGACTGTGCGCCCGCTCCAGCTGGCCCTACTTTCACGTGCACTTACAGCGCGTCAGCTTCGAAGGCCGGAGCGATGCCTGAACTGCCTCTCGCAAGCCATAGCTCACCTGGCCACATCCTCTGCACCAGAGCGAGCGCTGTTTGAGCCAATAAAGCCCCACTGTCAGACGTCCGTTTCATCCGGTTGCCGGCCTCGGAGAGGTGAAGATTAACGCGACTCATAGGAGAGCGGTCTTATCGGGCGAGATACGGCACCGGTCGTAAAACCCGGCCGTGTCCGTCGGCAACAGTGCCGGAACTGACCCGGCAACGGCGGCCGGACGAGCTGGGGCGCTCGTGAAGGCCATGTGTCGCGACGCCGGTTGGCGAGGTCGCCAGGCCGGTCCTGGGCGAGGGATAGCCAGGTCAATGTCAGGGGTTGATAAGAACGTTGTCACTCCAGTGGAGGCTGTTAGGACGGTGGTGCTGGCCGTCGACGCTCAGCGCCCGATGTTTTTGAATTCATTAATGGACGCTACGAGGTTGCGCGCTTAATGGAACAGGAAAGGCCATTGCTAGCATGGCGGGCTTGCGCGGCCGCCGGCAGGCCGGTGTCAGAAGCGTCCGCCGCTCGTCGGTGGGCCGCGCCGGGGCTGACCGGCGTCGCCTCTGCCGCAGGGCATGACCTCGCTGCGCGGCAACGCTGAGCTGCGCCGACTGCCGGCGCACGTGCGCCACACGCTGGGCCAGATGCTGGCGATGCGCGGTGCCTGGAGGACGCTGATGGGTCGCGTGCGCCGGCCCGGCTCGAACGTGGCCCTATTCACCAACGAGCATGTTCAGTAAGAGGAGGACGCGTGACCGGAGAGGGCGGCCAGCCAGTTATTGTGCATAAGTTTGTGCATAAGTTTTGGGCTGCCCACCGTAATTAGGCCGGAAACCATTTGACTGAACCTAGGCCAGATCGCTGTTTCAAACTGTTGGACACGTCTGGTGCTCAGCAGCGCAGCTTGCGTCCAATTGCATGCTTGGTAACGATTGAAATGTTTTATCTATGCATGTATTTATGTATTCGTAAAAATTCCCCAGGACGCGGTTCATTCGATTTCCGAGTCAGTGCATGTAGTAAATCGTCGCGACGAACTCATCAGTTAATGTAATTATGGTTAGGAAAACACCTAGGCTACGTGAGTGGTACAATCAGCTCATAACCAGGTCGACACATCTGCTCGAGAAGGTGAAACATTGCCTTCCACCCTAGCATTTTCCTCGTCCTCAAATTGAGGAGATTTTACGAGCGGAAGAGCAGTTTTACGAGGATTAATTTTTAGTCGGTTTTGCATAAGCCAATGCGCAGCGGTGGTAGGATTATCTCCATCGCACCACGAAGGTCGCCGGTGTTGGCCAGAGTGTCTGCATCCATAAAGTGGGCACTGTCGTTATACCTCATGAGTTGTCCACAGTAAATAAAAAAGAAAGGTCATTAGTAAGCAGTACAAACAGCATCGATCCTAAAATGCTTTCCTGGACCACGCCATGGGTGGCCGGAAGTGAAATCGTACCACCTAGACCAGGCTGCAAATGGCTCGCAAGCCGGCCACGGAACCGGTGGTTAGCTAAGTGCTGTGATCTACATTTGGTGTTGCGTGAAACGGTCCGGGGTACGCCGTGAAAGTAAATACGCTCCGTCTTTTGGTTTTCATAAGCGCGGCTATCACGTAACTATTGTTTCATTTTTGTACATCGTCACACATCAGGAACACCCCTGCTGACCAGCGAATAGAACCCATCTGTAACTTCCAGTCACGGGCGATCGGGCTAGTGAACGGCCAGCAGGACAGTGATCAAGAACAGGTAATATATAACTCCCGGATCACGCTATAGTACACAGCAGTGAGCGACGAAGGCCGTCCGTAACTCGTCAGTCACGTGACACTGCAGGCTGGTGAGCGAAGAGAGCGCGCGCAGCGGCCGCAGTGAGACGGACGTGTTGCTGGACGAGTGGGGCACCTGGGGCCGACGACACGAGCGTCCCACCGTCGACGACCTGGTGATGCTGCTGACCGAGCTGAGTCTATACCGCGCCGCCGACTACATCAACGTCAACGTGCTGGAGGGTGAGAGGCGGACGGCGGTCCGTGCTGGATGGTGAGGGGCGGACGGCGGTCCGGGGCGGAGGGTGAGGGGCGGACGGCGGTCCGTGCTCGAGGGTGAGGGGCGGACGGCGGTCCGGGGCGGATGAGGTCTTATCGAGAGTTTGCAATCGGCACGAAAGATCAGACCAATACACCGGGTTTGCCGGTACCGGTAGACATCGACCCCTCACGTGTCTGCGCATAAGCGACACATGCGAGTACTTGTCATTGAAATCGCTGAAATTGAGTGCGAGGCGAATCATCGGCGAAGTCGGTGGAGCCGTCGCTGTAGGTGTCGGCGCTCCTGTCGTGTAGAGAGCAGCACTGAACTGTCGTGCCGACGAGGCTCACGTAGCCGTGGAGGGAAAACTTTTGCAAAGCTCCAAATTGCACGAAATAGCAAAATAAAAAAACCTTTGAATTTGGAAGCACTTCGGCCAAACTGGGCCAACATGAAATGAACCTTGCTTTGCAGGAATGGGTTCTGGAAAGAACTTCTTGTACGCATGTAAGTTATTCCGAGTAGCTAAACTTTTAGAAATGCTACATGTTAGCTATTTGGAAGACGAGTTTGAAATGTGGCCGGGAAATTCATTTGATGAGTTGTTTTCTCGCCAAAGTCCGCCTGTGGAGGACCGCATTGTGCAGCCAGTTGGCAGGAAGATGGAGAGAAAGCACACATGCTAGTTTTAAGAGCGGAAGCGATGATTGACAAAGGTCCTAATACGGCTTAAGCGCCCCTGAAATTGGTTTTAAGACCAGAAGTAATTATAGATAAACGCCCTAATGGGGCTCAAGCGACCCTGAAATTTTTCGCATATCAGCAACAGTGTTATCCCAACGTGCTGTCTCGTTTTTCACATACATATGGAAAACAGAAGAAACATATTTTTGAACCGATTTTGATTTTGCGATAAAAAAGGATTAGAAAACTTAGTGATGAATACCGCTTCGGGTTTTCAACACCTTTGTGATCTTCTGACGTTCGGAATGCTAGAGTTTTGGTTGGAAAAGCGACACCGTGGTAAAACCGAATTAAACTAGTTTAAATATATCGCCGTTTTTTAAACCCACTGAATGGGTCTCAACAGGTCCCCAAAAAGGTGAAAAGACAACAAAACAGTCGGTAAACAAGGAAAGGTGTGTCCTTTACATCTCGTCATAAACAAATTCGGAAAAAAATTACAAGAAATTAAGGAAGGATTGGGACAAGTACGAAGAAATTAAGGAAAGGTTGGGACAAGTACGAAGAAACTAAGGAAAGATTAAGGATTACAAAATTAAAGGAATATTTGTCAGGAAGGATTACGGCGAAGTGTTGAGATCTCAGTACTCGAATTCTGCATTCAAAACCGGTCAACAGACAGATAACGCCTGAAAGGTGATTGCGTGTCGACAGATGGGGACAACACATCAGACTTCATTGCTCATGTATGCAGCTCTTGACCTGAAACGCTGCTGCCTTACCCAATCTAGACTGTCCCATCAATTGATCCTGTCTTCTATTTATTTCCGTTGCTGCGAGACAGACAGTTTTTCGGGGACGCAGTACTGCCTACAAGGTAACGCCGGGCTCGTGCCGTTCATAAGCCTGGTGAGGATTATCAGCGACGCGTGCTGGTATGACGCCTGGTGGGACGATTGCCGGGGTTGTAACAGTCGCGGTGCGCCGTCGCCAGTGGCGCCCATGGCTCGGCCGCTGGCCGGGCCCGGCGCGCCCGTGCCGCACGACGAGGCAGCCGTCCAGCGAATCCTGGAGGAGCAGCGGCCGCGCCCCGAGCCGCCGGCTCCCGCGGAGCCGCAGCCGGAGTCGGGCCAGGAGCTGGAGCGGAGCCCGGAGGAACCGGAGCTGGAGCCGGAGCCGGAGCTGGGCCCGGAGCCGGGACCGGAGCCGCCGGCGGACATACGACACTTCAGCTTCGCCTACCTGGAGAAGGTCGGGACTGTGACGCGACTGCGGTGTGAGGCTGGCTCCGGCGCCGGCGGGGACGTGACCGTCTCGTATTCCGTGCGTTCGCGGGGCGTGATCGTGCTGCAGGTGTAAAGGGCCTGCCGGGCAGCTCAGCATGGGCCCACACAGCACTGCTGACGGAGCAGTATAGCCGCGCTGGTCAGCACGCCGGGCCTGGATGGTGTTACGCCTCGGTGTGGGTGGACTTAAGACTAGTGTGGGTGGGCCTTCTTCATTTATTAAGGTCTTGACTCTGCTTTATCTCAAAGAGCCTGACATTTCAGCTTGAAATCTAGCCGTGCACACAGGCACTTGCCGAGGCCGCGTGTATCCAACTCTGCAGATGTAATCATTCCTAATAATTCCCCATTATCTCAGATTATCTAGCGAGTGTCTATTTCGTATCTAGCGTCTAATTTTGTGGAATTCTTCCGTTGGACTCTTGCGGTCTGTCTGCTCAGCATTGTAAGAAACATTGCCTCCCCCCCCCCACCAGTATTTTTTTTTTGCTCGTATCCATTTGCGGCCAAAGTATTCGTCCAGTAGTTCTCGTCATAATTCGTGTGTGAGCTCATATGTTATTCAGAAAAAAACACGTTGCGCAGAACGTTCTAATTCAGTGTTGACCTGGTCGCTACGGCTTCGGTGCATGTGATGAAACGCCGTGGGCTGAAAGAAGCGCCGAAGCCTCGCCGCTACGCATGCGGCGGATGTGTCGCATCTTACCTCTGTATTTTCTTTTCCTCATACCCAACTGACACTCCCGCATCCGGCAGTCTGGTAGCACAGCACGAGCCAGTGTGCACCGGACGGCACCAATATTGATTTCACCCCGATTTACTTAACTTCGCGTGAGCCCATCAGCCGGTGCCTCCACGTGGTCCGCGCCGTTGCGTCGCTACCTCCGTGTCAGCAGATCACGAACGAGTTCGACGACCGTGCTGTAGCGGCGGGCGGCTGCCGGCTGGGCGCCGGCGCCTACGGCACCGTCTACCTGGGCACCTGCGAGACGGCCGAACGGCTGGCCGTCAAGCGACTCGTGGCGGACGTCGAGGCCGTGCGCCGCCAGTTCCGCACAGAGGTCGAGGTCATGTCCAGGTCAGCAGGCCTGGGAGGTAATGGGCGGATAGGAGAAGTAGAGGTGTCATCACGCTGCTGGGAACTGGGTATTTGTCGTGAGACGGGGCCCGTACGACCCCAAACAGATGCCCTAGGGCATGGTCGGTTTGGGACTTTCGAGAATCTGTCCTAATTATGTAAGAAAACATGCTGGTCTGCCTGTGTCTATATATACCTTACTTGGCAGAGAAATGTGCTACCGTTGTTAGTATTGCGCCTCGCGATTTCCGGTTTCTGACATAGGAAGCACCTAGAGAGCCTTGGCAGACATACATTTAGGGGAGACGTTGAGGTTCTCACTCCGTTACCATGTACCATCTTTAGTTTCAGGCACGTTAATCTGCTGGAGCTGTTGGGGTTCTCCTGTGATGGCGCGTACAACTGTTTGGTGTACAGCTACATGGTCAACGGGTCGCTGCAGGATCGCTTGGCATGCAAGGTAATCGAGCATTCGTCGTCGAGCAATCGAGCATTCGTCGTCGAAGCAACGCCACGCGGCCGTAGGTACATATATACGCACTTTGCGAAATGTGTCTTCGTAGATACTTGCTCTAGACGTCACTTTTACAGGCGAAAGTAGCCTCTGCTAGTTTTTATTTTGTCGGTGTTCCAACTCGTGATGGTACGCATCTCATTTTCTTAGATACACTACGACACTACGGTGCCACCGTTCTTACTTCAAGAAGGGCGTTAGATGAGGGTTTCATCGATCATAGGGTACGCAGCCATCGATCTCGCAGATCTTTCAGAGAGGTCAAGTACTGCGCGAATTGCCATGTGCCCTTTGACCTGTGGGAGGTCGCAGCGCGGTCGACCTGTCCGTAAAGGTCAGCCCATTGCCTGATTCTCACGGCCGATCGGCGCCCAGCGACATTGGGGCGTCTTCTCCCGTATTAAAAGTTGACGGACTGTTCAAAACCTAAAGTTTACAGCTGTTGATGAGCAGCCGACCGCGGCCGACCGCGCTTTCCAACTCGGCTCACGCGTCTGTTGTGATAGCTGAGGCACAACTGTGAGCAATGACGAACGGAGCGAAAATGAACGGAACTGTGGCTGCGGGGCACAGCGCAAACGCTTCGGCGTTCCTGAAGCGATAGGTCGCAAACTCACCAAGGGGCGTAGAAAGCCACCCTGTGTTGAAGCGGTGGCTGTCTAGTTGGGAATTATATGCTGGCAATAATCAAATTTCAATGTAACAGGGGGTGCTGATGAAACGACGTGATCAAGCGCGTGTTGTCGATGGGGAGAAAATTGATATTGGTTATATGAAGTGTTGGCTAGAATGGAAAGCTCGTGACCGCTAGTGGCCATGAGCGAAGCTTCAGACCAGCGAATTTGGTGAGCTGACGGATGTGTGCTTCAGTTCGTTGTTTACCCAGCATTTCATTGTAAATTAAAGGTCGATTGTTACCAGCATGTAACTTCCAACTCACAAGACCGAGAAACCAGGAGATCAAGGTCTTCCTTGCTTATATACATGCTTCAAAAGGAACATACATTATGTGCTCTTCTATCTACTTGCTATTTAGCTACTAATTTGCATGCTTTTCATGTTTGCCGTTTCAAAATCGGAAGAACTGAAGGCGTGAGGGGCAGAGATTTTAGACATTGCCATTGCCATAGATATCAAGTGCTAGAGAGTGACCAGAAGCATGCCCGAAGTCTTCACCCTTTTCGACGCGTCCAAATTTAACGTCTTGCTCCTGGGTTGATATTTGCTGCCTCCCTCCAAGCATGCGTGATGCGTGCCGGACACCTTGGGCGGGGCGGTATCGTGCCGGTGCCTAGCGGCCACCGCTAGAACTATTCGTTTAGGGCAGGCCTTACGTGTGTGCGTGTAGGAGACGGGGGGAGGAGGACGCCGCTGTTGATTGGGGATAATAGTGAGAGGCGCTAAGATATAGCTTGTGTAGGCCTTGCATCAATCCTTGTGACGTTCTTCGTTATTGTTCTACGGCCGATGAAAATAAATATGATGGTGATGATGATGACCATGGGTCAGAAGATGCGCGGATGCGCGGAGTGAGCTCATTAAGAGCGGCACGGTGCGCCTAGCTAAACCAGGCCTCGATGTACGTGTATAAGCGCTCCGGGTTCCGCTTAATGTAAACATTTTCGACGACAGTAAGCAAAGTGTTGATTTTGGATGATGAAAGCATATGTTTGCTGAAAGAGAAACGTCATTTTCGGAGACAGCCAGTGTGATTGCATATTTAATTGTGAAGTGTATCAAATGTAATATTGAAATCAATGGGAGTGGAGACCGGAAAATGGCACGCAAAGATTGACACTGGATGCATATTGCTATTTGAAAAGGGTGCGTCCGTGTGTGCGTTCGTCACCGGTTGCCATCTGATCAATACGCAGGTCAAATGGAGGGCTGCTTAAATGTATGCTTTTGATACGTTGCGCGTGCGCACGAGACTGCATGCATTGGTGAATTTGGTGTCGTTGCGGTCAACGGACGGCGCGTGGCGCGGTGCCATGTGGGCCCGTTGCCCCACTGGTCGTGCATGGCCGCCCTAAAAGGTGACCCGCGCCAAAACCCGCGAGCAGCTGTCCGAAACGGCGGCCATATCTCGGCAATCGCGGCCTGAGCGACGGAAAATTGACCCGTTTTCATAGAGAAATGAACGGCGAACCGCGTGTCGTGCGATTGCACGTCCTACGTGCCATGCGCTACGTGATACGCTGCATACAGCATGTTACGCCACAAACGATAGATTTATCCCTTTTCGACAGCGTTCTCCATGTTTTGGGCCTTATCTCGGCAGTCAGAGCCAGTGGAGGCGTGAATTCAACTTCAAAGCGCCCAGCAACGTGCCGGCCACAATTCGTATGACCAACGCAAGTTTGTGCGACACAGCTTCGCCGGTAGTCCTCAGGCAAGCCGGGAATGTGGACATTTGGAAACGCGGCGCCGAATGCACCAGATCCTGGGCACAGCTTAAACTTTGGTCAGGATCGCCGCATTCGGCACCAAGTTTCGCCACGATCCTGGCCACAGTTACAGGATCGCAGCGAAAGTTGCATCACCTCAATTGCCTGTTCATCACATGCACTTGCCGTCCGATTATTCATCGTTCTGTGCACCATCTCTTTCAAACATGTCCTTTACCCAGATTGTTATAATTTTGTTTTTTCGCGGCGTCGAAATGTCATTAATCGATCGACCAATCGTCGCCGTCAAGTATTGTAAGCAAAACGACGGAAAACGCATGCGCAGTGTATCAGCCGGCGGCCAGCAGTAGTTTTTGATCTTTGGTCCATTAATTCTTTGTGGTGAAAAAGCTGAGCCAGGATGACAATGAAATGCATCGTTTCAACCATTTGCGTAGATAAATAGAAAGAAGCAGCGTTGATTAACTGAAGAATAATTCGTAAATTGAACGGCAGGAATGCTCATTGGGAAGCGCGCTAATGCGAGAAAAACTCCTGCATTCACCGGGTGCATTTTGGAATCCTGTGGAACGCGGGAGAAACATAGCAGCAGCGTTTGATAAGTGGCAACTGAACAATAGCGTTTTGTTCTAGCGCTGGGAGTAGGAGTCAGAATGGTTTTCTTGCAGTGTAAGGAACGCGTTATAAAACCCGAAGAGCATCATTTAAAAGAACAATCATTTGTTCTTATTCAGACATGGAAAGCTTGCGCATGGTGATGTCAGCCGTGGGCCTTGGATGATTTTTCTATAGTCTTTCTGAGTTGTCGCAGTTCGGTGCCTCATCGGCTTGGTCACACGACAATGTGGCGCAGCATGTCTGTGTGTGTGTGCTGTGCAAGCATTCGACTCAGGTCTTAGCCCACGCTATTGTCATCACTTCATCGTTTTTCTTTTTTTAAACTACGGGCATGCATTCCGTAGTCCAGCGACATCTGAGCAGCACACGAATAATTGTGTACGCGGAGCGTGGAGAGTGTCGTGGGTGTGGACCCGGATGGTTGGCGCCTCCTGCTCCCTTGTAGGGGGATCGGGTCGAAGACCTGCGTCGCATTACCTTAAACAAAATGGGCAGCACGCGGGTACCAATATTCGGGCAGCACACAACGTACCAATATCTGGGCAGCGCACGGGTCAGGTAGCGAGCGGTAACTGCCCTATTGTAGTCAAAGTTTTAAGTGATTTACCCCATGGTGCTCAGCGGAAGTAGATGTTTTACACGCTTGCCCGCAAAAGTATGTGATACTTAACTTTTGTGTGCACTATGTGTACACTATGTAACACAGCTGACGTACTAAAGAACGAACGGAGTGGAAAGGGTGGCCAGCGGTCACTACCCTTCACTACTCTGCTGCGCTAATCACCTGAAGCCGATTCACCTCACGGCATCACGCCGAGCAGTTGGCTTGCAGATGGAGGTCCCAACTTGATAGTCATGCGTTGCTGTGCCTGGACCACCATGATAACGTTTCAGGAGTCAGGAGTTCCACTTTTACTTCAGAGTGCTCCGCCCCCCCCCCCCCTCCCAACTTGGACAAGAAAGTGGGTCAAGTCTAGGGAAAGCCCCGTTTGTCGGCGTATTTTTAATTGGGTTACGTTATTTTTACTAGTAATCCTGTCCAACCAATTTTGCGAAGCCATGGTCACATCGGTGCGGAAATGACGTAAATAACATAGGCTGCATCTTAAATTACTATTTCACTTTTGCCGTTACTCATTTCGTTCGTCAGCACGCGCTCGGGTGGGTATCAAAATGACCCCTTGAAGGTTTTTGCAAAATAGTTTCTTTGTATGGCTCTAGACAATTGAATAGCGGATCGTTTGGCATCAAAAACTTTGATGTACCTTGTAAGGTCGCTGACCTATGGCAGGTTAAAGTCAGGCCATGGTTTCAGCGAAGTCATTTTGTAAGGAATCGTTCAATCTGATGCAACAACGGAGTGTTAGACGACGCCATAAATTTCTGAAATGCTTTCTTAGGCAACGCAAATATTGAATGGGCAAATAACTTTGGCCTAAGGTCTGGTATAAAGGTCAGATCAAGGTCAAAACCAACTTGTTTTATTGCTCTGGGGAGTGCTGTGTGGGATAGTTTCTGGTGCTTATTTCGAATTTATCGATAGCAGGAACCGCATTATGCATCTTCCAACGGGCTTCTTATAGCTCAGAATAGGTCATTGACCCAAAATGACCCAGTTCAACATTTTGTTTTCGAAACGTACTGGTGTAACGTAACATACAGCGTTATCCTTGTTGCTTATTCAGGTGCAAAACTCGAGCAGTCTTGTATGACTGTGGTCACCATGACCTTAAAAAGGTCAAGCAAGGTCACTGGCCTCAATGGACATGTGACCTTTTGCTTAGAAACAGTTATCTAGATTCTCAGGGCACTTTGGAAACCAACCTGCAATTTGAGCTTGTCTGACCTTATTTGACCCGAAGGTCATGACCTAGGATCCTCAAACTTTGTCCTACGTGAGTTCACGTGCAGGTCAACACACCCTGTGAATTTTGTGTCTCTAGCTCTGTTAGATTCCGAGATCTCAAGGGGGTCGAATTGACCCCCACCCGAAGCGAAGGGTATCTAGCCGGCCGCCCGAACGCGTGTTAAAGCAGTCGTTCGCTAGAGACCAGCCAGATTCAACGTGATTGATATCCCAAAGTTATAGGTACTTGATAGCTATACATATATCTAGATACCCATACAGCGAAGGGTATCTAGCCGGCCACCCGGACGCGTGTTAAAGCAGTCGTTCGCTAGAGAGCAGCCAGATTCAACGTGATTGATATCCCAAACTTATAGGTACTTGATAGCTTGGCTAGTCAGGTCATATGGTCATCGTTTTTTATAGTTTGATGCTGAATACAAAGCGAAAGGTTTTGTGTCATGGTAGCCTTTAGATTTTTGGTGTCCATCGTCCCTGAAATCTGCTGCGTCTACTACTACATGTTATGCCTCTGCGCTACACGTTATACGTTACCTAGATGCGAACATTTTATGCTCCATTGTTATAGCTTACGAAGTGATAAGATGAAACCACAAATTGATTGATGGAAAAGTGCCAACGTAGTCGTCAGTACGCATCGAAATCACTACCATAGGCGGCCAGCGAAACGGGCGGGCCACCCCTGGGTCTACAGACTTTTTGCACAAGGTGCGCATGCGCGCATTTTGAAAACAATATTTGAAAACTGAACAATCGCTGATCTTTCCTTAGCAAGCGGATCGTGGGTTAATCACATCAGAATGCCTGAAATACCGTTTTCGGATCACTTCTTTTCCTGTCTTCGTGTGCATGATCAGCTTCGACCTATGACTACATGGCGCGAAATCGGCAAGCGTTATGGCAGTGATGATATAAGGATTCAATTAGTCCTATCCCCATCTGTTTACGATTGTTCCTTTACACAGACGAAACAGAGGTCTCCAGACATTTTCTTCAACTACCTCCCACCACGCACACGCATATAAAGAGGGTGGAAGGGGGGGGGGGGGGGGGCGGGCGGTCACCGGCCGGGTTCTGTTAAGGTTGCAAGCGATCCTCCATGTTGCTGAACCGAAAGCTGGCTTAAACTGGAGTTTGCTTCCAGTGACTCACATATGCCCCTGGTAACGAAAAAAGGAATCAGCAAGCAAATAACCAGAGCGGTAACTTCATTTCATTCAATCCTGAGTCATACCAAGGGCTCTCAATACAAATCACATTGATCCCTCGTGCGGCGGGAGCACTCGCCGCGGCTAACCAGACCCCACAAGGACTAGAGGACTCGCCACCGCTAAACTCGAGCAGACGTGTCCAGCAGGGGGTGCCGTCGACGCTAAACTCGAGCGGACATGTTCCGTGGGGGGACTCGCCGCCGCTAAACTCGAGCAGACCAGTCCGGCAGGGGGACTGGCCGACACTAAACTCGAGCGAGCGTGTTCCGCAGGGGACCCGCCGGCGCTAAACTCAGCGAATGTGTCCGGCAGGAGGACTCGCCGCCTCTGGCATGGGAGCGTCGGCTGGCGATCGCGGTGGGCACGGCGCGCGGCGTGGTCCACCTGCACACGAGCCGGGAGCGGCCGCTCATCCACCGCGACATCAAGTCCGCCAACATCCTGCTGGACACCGACTTCACACCCAAGGTGAGCGATTCCGGCTTTTCACTGCCCTGAAGTGAATTGCATTAACGATTCAAAAAGCAGCACAAAGTGCATCCAGAAACTGCAGCTAAGTTCGAGCGAGAAAAACTCCTGCCAGTCGCTTTAAAAGCTTTACCAGTGGGCAGAGGGTCTTTGAATTCATCAACCGTTCTCAAAGTACTCACCTCAGGCCACGATCTTGACCTACCAAAATCGCATCAGCTACCTGCGCATTGCAGCCAAGTTCAAACTCAGGAATCGGTGAACGGATCACCCCACAATCCGTATCAATTTGTAGAGTACGCTTGGCTTCAGCGACTATCCTGAAAGTGTCGGCCCCAGGTCACTTAATTTATTACGAAAACTGCATAGGGCTGGGGCCAAGTCTGATCTCGGAAGCTACTGAACTGATCACCTGGAAACCTTAGACAAAGGAGAGTATTTGCCATTTTATTGGCCAGTATGAAACCACGGGTCACCATCTGAATCCTCATAACTGCATAACTGTATAAACGACTTCGCGCATTACCTCTGGACTGGTTGCCTGGCAGCATTCAACACTGGGTAGAGCGCTTGTGATTTTACAATCCGTCCTGAAGCTGTTAACCCGAGGCCGCCGTGTAAACCTTCAAATCCTGCACAGGCCTTTAGGGGCATTTCAACAGGTTTGGACGCGATGGGTTCGGCCATGCCCAGATCTGAGCATGACCGTGATGCTCCAGAGTGGTTTGGGCTTATTTTAAAGTCGATGTGGTGACCTGATATCACCTATTTCATCGTGGCCGTTGAAATTATAGGCGCTCTATCTATCAATAAAATGTCTTAGATAATGGGTTCAACGGTTCCCTGAGTTTGGACTGCACTGTGGTGCCGCAGAGTGGTTAGTGAAGTCTTGAAGGTCTTGATAACGACCTGGCGTTGTCATTAGCCGAAGGGCTGAAAAATAATCGGAGCCCTATCCATCGATAGAGGCTCCGGGGTTGGTCGATTTAGTGGTTTCTTGCAGTGCCACGAGGTGGTTCATGCAAGTTGGTGGCCAACGTGAGAACCAGCGGTTACCAGCCTTGGAAGGGCTGGTGAGACCGTAGGTGGCCTCTTCATTGGTTAAGGTTTGGGGACATTGGTTCAATGATGTTCGCGTTTAGACTTGGCTACAATGCTTTGAAGTGGTTAAGTCGAAGCTGTTTTTCGAGGATGCATGTGGTTCGAGGTGGAAACCTGAGGTCACTGGCGTCGGAACTGCTGTCTACTGATGAAATCATGTGCGTTTGTCCATTGTTACAGGTTTTAAGGCGATCACTTTAACGACTTGTGAGCTGGATTTGGCTGAAACGCCCCAAAGTTTGTATGTAGTTTATGCAAGTCATGGTAGTTGGAGAGGTCACCAGTTTCAGAAACGCTGGGCACGGAGAAACTCAGAAAGTCAGCAATTTAGACGCGCTTTACGTTGAAAAAATGTTTCGGAAGGGTCGAAGTAGCAGCTTCCTGACTTGGACTTGGTTCCAATGCTCCCTCAAAAATAGTTAATGTGCTTTTTCCAAGGTTGAGCTGTTATCTGAGGCCACCATTATCGAAGCGGCTGACCAAATTAGAGACACTCTATCCATTGCTAAATGCTGCTTCTTAGTTTATACTTTGCCTCGCCGCACTAAAATGCTTCATGCTGTTTTGAAAAGAACTTGATGACATGATGACAAAATGAAAGATAAAGAAATGAGTATGGAAAAAGAGTGCTTGAAGTGTGCTTTCCACACACTGGTCAGGTTTCAAGGAGGCCGGCTGAGCGGTTGCCAAATCTGGGCTTGTCTTCAGCGGATTACGCTGGTTAAAATCAAGTTTGAGGCAACCAGTCACAGTAACCAAGATAACCAGTCGCAGTTACCACAGCTTTGAAATGTGGGAGCATTTTCAGTGAAGCCAAAGCTTGTTGATAGCGTTGTTTGGCTACTACCTCCTGACATACCGAATGTCGATTATATTCAACATAAGAACTCCCAATTCACTAATGTATTGCGACCCATTGTTTTCAACGCCTTAGTCTGCCCCCATCCAGTTTTACCCATATCAACCCGAGAATCGAAACGAGTTTCGAATATCGTGCGTGAGGAAATGAATCCCTTGTAACGGATTTGAGCCAGCAATGCTAGCATGTGATGTTGACGTAATTCTTCCACCACATTCACACGTCTGCGCAGGACAGTCATAGCAACCAGTAGGCGTGCGTCGGATATATTAGCGGACTTGCCTCCGCGGCCATGAAGGCGCGTCACAAGCAGCTTGAGCATTGTCGTCCCGCGTCGCGAAAGCTTTGCCAAAGTGAGGGGAGGATGCCGCCTTGCTGAGATGCTGAACCAAAATTACATAGATATCTAGTGCGACGTACATTAGATATTACTGCAAAAATGAATTGGGATGCAGTGAATCGGCATCTGGTTCGAAATCGCGTTTGAAAAATTGGTGCCTACCGGTGAAGTTACACTATCACGAAAACCAGTCACAGTGCTTACATTAGCATTCAAGTAAACCATAGTTTTTAAGTGAATTTTGACTGGGGAGAAAATTCCAACAATATGACATCATAGGCATGGATCCACCTTACCGGACCTATGTGTCGAATTACTGCGCTCGGATGAAACATGATAAAATGATTTAACGACTTATCTGCCATGTATCACGGGGCTATAACGGGCCCAGAACTACGATCGTATGGTGAGGAATACAAAAAGAAATAAGCCAAATATTACGAATGTGAAGTCGAGTTGGAATTCAGCACGATTACACGGAACCGTAGTCGAATCCGAAGCCGGTGGCTTTGAACTTTGAAATTGGAATCATGGCCAGTGGCCTCCTTTTTCCAAACGCGAAACCGGATCCAAAGCTAATGGCTTCAAACACGCAAACGCGAAGCCCATGCGAAGCACAAGTGGTAAGCACACGCCGAAGCCGAAGCAAGCGGGTTTAAAGTTTGAAAAAACACGACGTAAAAAACTTACTTGTGACTTCAGAGTCACGAGGCCTTAGATAGAGCTAAACCCTGTGCACAGCGTCATTTTATGGAACTACAACCATTATTCGAGCCTGTTGAAGCGTTGTGATGCCAGGAAGTATCGTAAGCATTTTGCGGAATGACTGAGGCATGGTGGTAGCAATATGAATGTTAGCAGTATGGGCGGAGAATGTGTTTGGAAATGTCACCCTCGTGTTGTGTGTTAGCACGTACACAATGCTTGGGGTAGTTATTTCTCCTGCTGGGGTCAGACGTTCGTTGGTCCTGAGAATGGCCGGCGGGTGCGTATCGGCGAGGGGAGAGGCAATACTGTTTTTGCAAAGTACAGCTGCAACTGGAGTGAGAAGATACCATGACAAAGCCGATGTCAGCAGTTCAGGTTGGATCCATGGTTCAAGGCTTGTTCGAAGCCAAAATGGATGCTGATGCTGGCTGCTCAGAATGTCACGGAACGCAAGCCTAAGGCGATACAACCATATAAAAGGATACGAAGCTCAGGCTGAGGTCAAAGCTAGCGGTAGAAAATGGATCCAAGACGAAGTTGAGGTTAGCTAGGATCAGTGTTCTCAAAACTAGCGTTGAGTGTGCTTTTTGAGGAAAATGCAATTTCACACCACAGATCAGTGTCGTGTTCAATGGTAGACCCGTACGGCTGTTTCGTGACGGCGCTTCGGTTGCCGCCTTCAGGTGGGTGACTTCGGTCTGGCGCGCGAGGTGAGCGGCAGCAGGACGACCAACACCCTGCTGACCACCACGGTGCTCGGCACCTCGGCCTACATGCCGCCCGAAGCCTTCCGCGGCGACGTCTCCGTCAGGCTGGACAGCTTCAGCTTTGGCATCGTGAGTTCCGTGGCCTTTGCGGGGCGTCGGACGCAGTTGCACGTTTGGGGAGGAGCAGGTTAGATGGCAATTATGCTCCGGGGAGGTGGGACGAAAGATGGCAGAGCTCAAGGGTAGTAAAGAAGGTTGTATCATTGCATAGCCGCAAGGCGGGCGATCATACAAATGAAATTTCATGAGCGTACCTAGGATTGTGAGCAGCGTATTTGATAACAATATTCAGAATACACTCCTGGTGATTTTTCAAACAATTTGAGCTTTTTCAAAGGACGGCCGCCATTTTGATGGTACCCCGAGCAGAAATTGGTCCTAATGGGGGGTGGAGGTAAGCGCAGAAGAGTATTGCAAATGAGGGTTGTGGGGGCGTCAGAAAACCTCGTTGCCAGGGCGTCCCGGTGTAGTGGTGACTGTCCCATTATTTGGCCGGTTTAGCCTTTAAGAATTAGTAGTTTGCTGTAATGACACCAGTTTACCCCTCCCCCTCCTCCGTGATAGTTACTCGCCCACCAGACGTGAAATGCTGCGGATATGGCGGCCCTGGAAACAGATATATGTTAAGTAAATTTCTGTTTTAAATGCGAGTAATCAGATGGCCTTAAGCCCCAATGCCACCGACCTGTTGGCTATTGTAGAGTTGCAGGCTGGTAGTTGAGCGAAGATCAGAAGAATGGTTGGGACACGACTTTTCGGCTACCGCCATCATCAAGTGGAAAATGCGAAAATGAGATTATATCACGTGTCCTTCCTTTGCTACAGCCCGCACCGAACTGGTGGGTCATTTTCCACTCCCCCTCACTCCCCATTTTCACGCCGGCCCTGCCATCTAGTGGTGACATGGGGATTGCATCAAGTGCCGGTAGATGGTGCGAAGTGGAGAGGGCGTCAAGCATCTTTGGTCGGCGTCTTTGTAAGGAGAAATTCGGAACTCGCCTTGTCACCGGCCCTCGCATTTGTGTAGAATGCTGGTGTGCGAGGGGTGCGTTCGTGTGACTGATGGGCGAGAATGGTCACTGGATGGTGTGCCGGCGGTCGGCTTCTTGGCATCACGCAGGTGTTCATTAAAACATAAGTGCATGCCTTTTTGTCTCGTCGATGCACGTTAAGACGGCGAAGGTGAATTGCCTCCATTTTCCTCTTTTGCTCTCCCCTCTCTACCTATCTGATGATGGCAAACGTCGAAAATGCATGGCCCCAACGCTTTTTCTGATCGTTCCTCATCTACCAGCCTTCGAGCCCCCAGCAGCAGACAGGTCGGTGGTATTAGGACTTGAGGCCATCCATCCGCTCTCGGATGGAATGTCCTAAACCAGTGTTGCAATCGGGAATTGACTTAAGATGCCTTCTAATAAACTGCATTTTAAGAAGCAAATCTCTGCCTTGGAGATTGATTTTGCTCATTTTCCGCGTCTTCAGGATGTGCGCGGTTGTAGCATCCCTTTCAAACAGATGTGATTGACGACATGTTTGGCAGTTCATTGCCTGACTATCCGTGCCCAGCGTAACATCCGGCCTGGGAACGTTCGGCGACATTTCTCGCGGTGTGACCTCGCGAGGGGGAGGAGACCGGCGGGGGACGCGGCTCGCTACCCTCCGCAGTCACGATATATCGTTGCGCGGTAGTGACGCCCGCCGTCCCCGGACCCCCCTCCGACCGTTGCGCCGTCGGCGGTCTCCAAATGTCGAACCTGTCGGCCGGCGTCAGAGATCCGTAACCGATCAACCTTTCCTCGAATGTCCCGGTAAACAGCTGGGCTTTCAAACAAAGTGTTGTGATCATAACGCGTGTGTGCTCTGTTACGCGTGATTTGTACAGGATGCCCGGAAACCAAGAGTACCCAACAACGAGTTAAGTCAATAGACTTTTCATTGAAAAATGTCCAAAATTAGCCGTCTCTGGCCAATACCATTTCAAATTATGTGGTAAAGTTCTGTTTGCGTCTGTTCTTTTATTTCGATTTATTATTCTTGTTGTCCGTTCCGTGGCTGTCTGTGAGCCTTCTCCGCGTGGATTTCTTTTCACGGGTATTAGGGGCCCACTCGACTTCTGTTTTTAGGGGCGTGTCACTCGCCGAAATGGGCTGATAGCTATTCGTTATTTCCGCAGAAAAGTGCTGTATGTTGTTCACTACGCCATTTCAATCACGCTCTTCGTCCATCTCAACCATCTTCGACATCCCGGTTATACACGAAGTGCTTATGTGGAATTCTGATTTAGAACGTTTTTGAGCGAGTGAGAACGGCAGATTGGATGTTCACCCAGTATTTTGGGGTTCGCTTACTTCTGGAACACCGTAGTTGGTGGTAGGTGCAGGAATACAGATGCATTGTCCTGACTTATCGTATCCACAGCTTTGCTGAACTCCTGTGCCACAACAGGTGAAGTCCGTGTAAGCAATGACAATAAACGTCCAAATGAGCTAACTCTTCAGACCCGACAGCCCAGCTGATTACTACGCGGTGTCGGCCGGCTGTTGCAGGTACTGCTGGAGCTTCTGACGGGTCTGCCACCTTACGACGAGACCAGGGAGGGGTTTGACCTGGTGAGTCTCACGAGACCGGTCACAAGCTGTAAAAAGGTAAACCAAGACTCGTGCAAGATGTCTTTTACGTGGGGTTTATTTACCCTTACTTTACCCAGGGATTTCCGTGCACAGTGTAACTGTACGACCTTTGCACGTCTGCTACGTTGTGTGGATTGAGAGCCTGCGGCGTCTCCGTTGTGCTGCAAAACTTCTGGCGCAGAGTATGCAACTTAAGTCTCGTTACTTGACACTACTCTCCGGTAATTATGTGCGTTATGACCCTTCTTTTAACTATGCACCCCGCTTTATCTGAGTGCTTTAGATGCAAAGGCGTCCCCGACGTCAAGCTGAGCGTCATTTTTGCCGAATGATTGAGACGGAATGTTAGTATCACGTATATGATAATCGTTAGTACAGGCACTTTCGCACGCAACAACGTAATGTACGGAGGCCTGTTGTACATGCTAACACGACAGGAGGACGATAGTCAGTCCGAAATATCTGATAGGGGACAAACCCTGCATATCGTACCGGTTACTCATCAATAAACTTAAACCATATATGTGTCATCTGTAACGCACTAGCGGCCATGATTGTCCTTCCCTCCCCCTCTCTCCATCAGTTTGTAAATATCATGAAAAGTTTAGGTTATGACAGCCCTACCAGAGAAATGTCAAAGCCTCTTACTGCAGTTTACATGACGTTTAACCATGTGGGATATTTACGTTCGTATGTAAGGCCTTAAGCAATTAGAATTGTTGCTAGTCCACACAGACTGGCGCATCGCAGTACTATTAGAACAGCCTAGAATTACTCAAAATTAGGGACATTGCAAAGCAGCAGTTAATCTCCTTAATGCATAGGAATCTTACTTCGAACCTGTCAGCTGCAATGGACGCCCTGTTTACGCTAGCAGATATCCCAAGAGTAACCACAAGACATAAACGTCACTATCATGAAAAATTCCCCCCCCCCAAAAAAAACTATCATTGTCGTGTGGCAACGTGGATTGGCCCTCGTCTCTGGAATTCCATTGTTTCACTCAAAGTACCCATAACAAATGCTATTGAGGCTACGAAAGCTGCATGAGAAGGTTCACAAAAGACCATTTTCTTGAAAGGTACAATTCTTCATAATACATTTGATGGACCATGCGGCTGTCTGTGCGTATGTGTTATATGTATGTGTATGTGTAAAGTGTGTGTGTGTGTGTGTGTGCGTGTGCGCCTGTGTAAGTGTGTGCGTGCGTGCTTAACTACCATGATCACGTGTACGTTTTCAACCCGTAAATGGCGACTCTTCGCCCAGCTGCAACAAGCTTGCTTAGTCTAGTGGGTGGCCGAAGGTGGAGCTTTGGACTCGCATCCCTGGGATCAGACGTTTGTCCTTCTTGGACTGTGTGAATGCTATTATACTAATTTCGTGTGAGTGAGTTACCTTCCCGGGCGGCCTCAGCGGCCAACCGTATGCTGCCTTTGGCTACAACCACTACTTTGCCTCCCTGCTTATTTCTTCTAATGATTAACATAGCGTGCCGGTGGGATTTGTAACCCCGTTCTTTTATCTTTTAATTTCTCTTCCACCTCTGAGCAGGGAGCATCGCGACATGCGTTTATTATTTTTTGTTGTTGTTAACGTCAGGTTCAGTGTGTCACTGGAACAGTGAAAGGGCACTTCTGGTCGCCCGTTGATGGGTGGCGGCTATTGTCATCTGCAACAATAGCTGGTACATCCCAAACGGCTATTGTCATCTGCACCAATAGCTGGCACATCCCAAACGGCTATTGTCATCTGCAACAATAGCTGGTACATCTCAAACGGCTATTGTCATCTGCAACAATAGCTGGTACGTCCCAAACGGCTATTGTCATCTGCAACAATAGCTGGTACATCCCAAATGGCTATTGTCATCTGCACCAATAGCTGGTACATCCCAAACGGAGCAGGCTGCCCCAGTCGGCAGCCAAATCTCGCAACTTCTGTGTGGCTGATCAAGCCGTTGAAACATTAGCGCACCCCGTTCCGTTTCACCTACATTTTCATCCCATGTAAAGTGTACGATTGCGAAGTGCTCTGGTACGTTTACCCCCTCCCCCTCCCCCTCTTTCGGTTTTTTCCGCTCAACTGTGTTTTTGAAACCATCTGGGTAGTAATGGGATTGAAAATGTTCGGCATTTACACGGCCGTAGACTAGATGAACAAGCGATCGATGAGCGCGATCGATTCAGCAGGCCTCCTCGACCTCCCACGCCGACCCGAGGTGTCCCGCGCGTTGCAGCTGTCGCACGTGGAGGACCACGTGGACGAGACGAGCCTGCACGAGACACTGGACGGACGGGCCGGCCCGATCCCGGCCGAGCACGCCGAGGCCTTGTACCGGTTGGCGGTGCGCTGCACCGAGGAGAAGCGACACCGGCCGGTCATGGGCGACGTGCTCCAGCAGCTGCAGCAGATTCAGTGACGGAGCGACCACAGCCGCGTCGCGCTGCAAGTGACGCAACATCCGCTGATCGTCGGCGGTCGGGACAAACAGCAAACGAACAGCAAACAAAAGCGGTCTCCGCTCTGCCGGACACGAGTGGACGGGGCCTGGAGCAGTGGCTGCAACGGGCGTGACAACGAAACCTCAGCTGCTCTGCCCTGAGGGAAAATACAGCGACCCGTGATGTAAACTGGAAGGGACGGGACAGTAGCTGGAGATGGAATAAGCAAGCCGGATGTCAACAGAAGACGCCAGTGCCAGGTCATCGCTTCATTTCCCTTTGGGGGGATATTGGAGTGTTTAATGTTGCCTGGTGTGGAGTGGCACGGCTGGAGGGCCGCTGCGCGGCGCGCCTCTGAGCACTCGGTCCGCCTGAGCGCTGGACTTCCAGATCCCGTATATCCACCCTGGCAGTCATGTATTCGGGTGGAATGACTCAAAATGCCGCGACTTGGTTATATGCGTGAAAACTGAGTTTTGTAGTGAGGTTTATATGCTTTCTCCGCCGGTGATGGATGCGTTCACTTGGATTTGTATTTTCTCTTCGATAAAACATTTGTGATCAGCATGATAGTGAACGGATTGCTGTGGGCTTTGAAGGTCCGCGTTTGTAGGGAATGTGCGCCCTTGTGCATATCGTTTTCCAGAGGGAATGACTATGAACGTGTGTATATCGCTTTTCTGAACACTGACACCCGATGCTAAAAACCTTTCTGTTTTCTCAGAGGCAACGCATCTACCAAATTTCGCAGTCAAATATTTTCCAGCACGCACTCTGCGATCTCGTAAAGAGCGCTATACTGTTTGGGCGCTGTAAGAGTGCACAGCCGTAGCGCCGACAGCCCTAGTCACAAGCAGTATTAAGACAGGTACAAAGGCGGGGGTGTCAGGATATAGGGCGTTGTAGACATGCATTCCTTCCAAAATTCATACGTTATATGGCTATGACGGATTCGCGTCATTGGCAAGTCACACGCACTGAGAAAATAGTTGCGCTCATGTAGTTATGTGCGTGCTGAAAAAGCTTCACTAAATAGCATGCCAACTATAACAAATAAACACCACCGTGCACGCATGTCAGAAGACCCACGTTACACTCCTGTGCTCCTAACGCTGTTCTTAAAAGTCGACGGTGGTGTGTATCTCGTGCCGCCAGCTGGCAGACGGCTCCGTGCAGCTGCAGGCGCGACACTGGGAGGCTTTCCGAGCCGACGTCAGCCTATCGTCCGAACTAAAGCTAACTAAGCTAGGTTGTAGCTCCAGGCGCCCTGCGTCCGAGGCACAGGTGCCACGGCTGGAGGCCGCTGACCTTGCCACAGCCATGTGGCCCACTCTCGCTGTCCTACCACGCTACTGGTGGCCTTCAACACTCTTGACGTCCCGCTCCTCGGTCACGCGCGTAACTCTGCTCCGTCCTGGAGTCTGGACTGCCAGTGCGCGGTCCAGGTGTTCTTGAACGCGATGCACGTGCACTGAAATGCATTGGAGAGTACTGCACTCCTTGGCGAACACTGCCTGGCGCGAACGTCCCAAGGCATGATAGAGCCGATGACAGCTCCAGGTGCCGGACCGAGTGAGACGGCGACACGATCTAGTGGAAAATGGTCTCCAGAAATGGTGTCGGTCTGTTTGCGGGAGTTCACGGCCTAGACGATCGCATCGCACCGCTGCCTGGAAGTTTTCTTCAGAAACAAATTCTGAGACGGCAGCATTCAGCTTTCCCAGCTGGAGAGCGCAGTTATCCAAGCACTTAACTACCGAACTAAACGGGCTGGGTATACGCTGTGGAATGGGTAATGGGTTGGGTTGGGCGCAGATTTGGAAAAATAATATCTGTAGTTGTAAAAAAATGTCGGTCTGCGTATGGGTAATTTGTTTGCGAAACGTCAATTAGATGCTTAAAAAAACACATAATGTATCCGCTTGTGCTTCTTGCAGTCGTGCTTATATTCATTTATGCTACTTTTGCAATTATAAATGCAACAGAGAGTTTTGTATGCAAGATGGTCTGAAACGGTTCCATAATTTAGAACTCAGGTGCCGGGAACACCCAGACCGGTGTGTTACGGGTGGGTGCAGTAGATGACGAGTAGACAGCAGGGGGATGTGGGTACAGCCTAGTCGGCTGCAGGTGGATTGGGGAAAAGAAATCTTACCCGTTTTAGCCTCTACTCCAAACGCGCTTAGCCATCGCCACCTGTAGGTGAGGGCTATCGGTTATCCATCGGCACGTCTGGTTTGGATCGTGCAGTGGCCGTGTAAGACAGCGGTCCAGACTTTCGTAAGCTGGTCACCATGCCGTGGACGTCGTTGCCAGCCTGCAGTGGTTTTCAGCCCGCTCGGGAAAATCCAGGCAGAGGGCGCTCCAGTCAACAGTGCGCCAGCGGCGAGTGGAGCGGTCCGTCGCGCGCGTTCGGATCCGGTCGACGGGGGCGCGCCCGACAATGGGGTGGTGGTCGCTGATGGGCGTGTTACTGTTAAGCACCTCTGCTGTGGTTCGTGGGTCGTTAATGCTGCAGCTGATGTTGTCCACTGCGCCGGGGTGCTCATGATATGGATCGGCTGGTGGACGAACAGGACGAAACTCAGCTCTGACAGTGCTGAACTGTACAGCTGCAAGGCCAAGCATCGCTGCAGAGTCGCTTCACGCGCCAGGTGACCAGGCATAGCCGTAAGCAACGTGGGTTGCATAACACACCATACGTCTATAAGCGTGTTACACGCAGGTAAAGGATGTGTGCAAATGAATATTTTTGTATATATATATACATAGAGAGAGAGAGAGAGAGAGAGAGAGAGAGAGAGAGAGAGAGAGAGAGAGAGAGAGAGAGAGAGAGAGAGGGAGAGGGAGAGGGAGAGGGAGAGGGAGAAAGGGAGAGAGGGAGAGGGAGAGGGAGAGGGAGAGGGGAGAGGGAGAGGGAGAGAGGGGGAGAGGGAGAGGGAGAGGAGGAGGGAGAGGGAGAGGGAGAGGAGAGGGAGCAGGGAGAAGGGAGAGGAGTGAGCGGGGAGAGAGAGAGGATGTTTACTGTTGAGCCACCTTCTGCTGTGGTTCGCAGGGTCCGTTAAATTAGCTGCCGCTGATGTCCACTGCGCCCGGGGTTCTCTATATATATATATATATATATATATATATATATATCTATACATATATATATATATATATTATATATATATATATATATATATATATATATATATATATATACCCGCAGGTTTTGTTATACGCCAACGAACTTATCTGATCAAATATGCATTTGGCCTTGCCTTTAACAGCACGTATGTCAATGAAAATATTCTGCCTTGCTATCGTCGTTTCCACATGGTCACCTCCGCTGGAAATCCCCAGGGCAATAGTCACATGATTGGGCCGAGTCTTGTGTGACGTTGTCACTCCTCATGTTCATTTGAAAGCTGACACTTTGTCTCAACGAAGAAGATCTGTGTCATACTGAGCCTGCATGCCTGCCGTGACCTCCTTGTTTTTGCGACGATCAAGCCGTCAGGTGTGGCGTGTGTATGTATCGATTATTCGTCCCGTTGGCTGCCAAACGGCGGGATACAAGGCTACGAACTGTGCTTCGAACATAAGCTTCGGGATGCATCGTCAGCCAGGTAGATTCCAAATCTTCTGCACACCCGACTTATCGTGGGCTTGTACCTTTCGTGAGCACACCGTTTATGAGCGGTGAACTCCGGCAATAATAAATCAAAATCCGTTCCGTGTTATTCACCCCCATTTCATGGCTCTCATCGTTCCCATCCCAAAACAAGCAAGGTAGCATGTAATCAAAACAGCTAGGGCCTTAAAAGGGGGTGTTCTTCATTTATGTGGGGTTTTGGCCTGAAAGAACCAACTTTTTTGAAAGACCTTTCGGTGCAGTGCACAGCTCTGTCCTTTTTAAGATCTTAACCCCTCTAGTTTGTGAGCCAAGTGCCCGCGAAAATGGTGCGTGTTTCGGAGAAAGCATTTCAATGCAACCTTGGAATTCCTGACGTCATAATAACGTTAAATAAACCCTGTCATGCCATATTCCATGTGGCGATCAAGGCTGATAAAAATATAATGGCCGAGTCGTTCATATATGGCATTTGTGAGCACGATTTCCAGATACAACGGCCGTCAATTGGCTGTCAGTGCCGTGTAGGGTACGATGACGTAATCAAACAATGACGTATCGAGGAGAATATTTACTTAGCGGAGAAGTTTTGGTATGTAGAGCAGTCTTCTACTTACAAGTGTGTATTCCAATAGCTATAAGTGGGCTTATTTAATCATATGCAATATTGTTTCATTATCTTCCAATGTGAAACATTCCCTTTAAGCTCATGAGAAAAGCTGAACTGCAGGTCCCAACCAGCCGGCACGTCCTTCTCGTGTCCGGCAGGGGACGCGCGACCTCTGGGGTGGGGGGGCGTCGCTGGCGCTGGCGGCGGGCGCGGCGCGCGGCCGGGTCCACCGGCACACGAGCCGGGAGCGGCCGCTCATGGTGCGCAGCAACCGGTCGGCCCGACACCCTGTGTTCCGCCGCCGTGTTCGGCATCTGGGTCAACATAGCTCCCAGTCCAAAGGCTTTCGCAGATATGGTCCTGGTGTATATTACGCAACTTTCCACAAAGGGCGTGATTTTTTCACGTCATACCTGGTGAACTGGGGCGCTGCACAGACACTTCCACTCAAGCGGTTTAATCACCCGCTTGGCGAAGCAGATGCAGGATCCGTAATAAATAATACGTGCGTCGGATAGTAATCGGTTGAAACAGTCTGACGTGCTGTCGCCAACTCGGTGAGCACCGGAGTTGCTCACAGCATGAGGTCGCATTACCTGGTTGGAATGTTGCGTTTCATGCGAGTGATTCACAAGAGTAAACAGCGTAAATATGGCAGAGGGTGGCCGCGTTCAAGACTTTCTGAGGAAACAACTGGTGGTACTTGACCGGCTGGCCAGCATTGAGCCATCTCAGGTCTTAAACGATATTGGATATATAGGACATTCATTCTTCTTTACGGAAATTTATGAGTTTTTGTACACAAGGTAGTTGAGTGAACCCGTGAGTACCATGCAATGAGATGCAGAAACTGATGGGTCATGAAAGCTAGCTCACTGATTTTGGAAGCACAAGCACACTGCCTTGAAACAGGACCATGAGAGCGCCGGTTTACGTAGCGACAAGTCGAGTGTTTTAAAGTTGAGTGAGTAGTTAAGTGCTCACTGCACCATGTGGACTCCTCGCTCACACGTCTGCAGGTAGCTTATGGAGTGGAACCAGGCGCAAAGTGAATGAACAGGTCATAACTCTGGGGGGGGGGGGGGGGGGCTGGACTGTCAGAATCGCACCTCCTCCCTTGCGCGCCGACGTCTCTGCCAAACTGGACAACTTCAGGCAGCCTCGGCATCGCGGATGACCTGACCCCTGACCTTTGCAGAGCGTCGAGCGCGATCTTACGTGGCTTGGAGAGACAAGCTAAGATGCTGAGGACAGTAAGGCGAGATGAATCGTCACGACGCTCTGGACACTGGGGAGATTGTGCAAACCGTCACACCTTTGTGGGAAGGCGGCACTGGGGAGTCTCACTTCGTAGGCACATGCACGAGTTGGGGATATCGTAGTTGGAAACCCTCCCAGTGCACTGTATGACAAACAAGTGAATCTGTTGGATCTACTTGTACACTTGCAGAATTTAAAGAATGATTT